GCGTTTTGTCGGTGATTTTTTAGTAGTTTCATATTTATTTGTGGTTCGTTTGCCGATGCAGTCAATTTGTTCGTACCTTTATTTTATTCTAGCATTGATTAGGTTTTTTTAACATTTTTCTTTTATGGTCCTTTATGCTTGTAAATCTTTATTGTAATTATAAATGTTTTCTATTTTTAATAAAATTAGTGACTTTCTATAAAAAAAATTAATATATATATATATTTAAATACTTTATGATAATTTCGAATATGCCTATATTGAAAATTCTTTGAAAAAGTATGAAAGACAATGTTAAAATATAAAAAGTTCAAAATTATTCCAAAATGATGGCTTAATTCACAATTTAACACCTAAATTATACCCATTTTTCCAATTTGCATCTTGAATTATTTTTTGTCCCAATTTACCCCTTAAACTATTACTATTTTCCCCAATTTACCTTTAAAATGATCGGCTTTCAAAGTATGACATTGTTATCGTTAACTCTTTTGCTTTGAAATAAACCAAGACCAGAATTAAAGATCAATCAGTTCGCGTAATAGAATAAAATAATATATTCTTCAAATAATGTTAGAGATTTAAATTTTGACATTTACGTATGAAACAAATTGAGTTGAGAATGTCGTATCCATACTAAATCTCTACAAAGTCCATTTTAAATTAATCAATCAATAGTTTAAATATATCGATTAATTCAAAAAAATCCCTCTTTTATTTAGACAGACCATAAATGCGATTAATGTCTTATCAAAAGAAGTAAAAGATTATACAACAGATATCCTTAATTTATTGTTTGTCAAAAATATTATAGGAATATATATGGTACGGATCACTTTATAATCATTTTTTATATAACTATACATGGCTGGTGATGGTTTCAAAGAGAATCGATGGCTGGTGATCAAGAGTGTATAATTAATTAGGGCATCTATATCTTTTTATCCTTTAAATAAACTATCTTGAAAAAAAAAAGTAGTAGGTTTCATAGAATAAATATAAATGCAGAAATTTAGCATCGAGGAATTCGTGTAGAGAATCCATGTTCAAGATGGAGCTTTCGAAAGAGTGAGGGGTAATTCAATTAAGAATATGTGATAGAATATAAAAGTTAAAAAAGAGAGGATCACTTGCCACCAGAATATTATGCATTAATCGGTTAGTCTAGTGGGATGAGATATTAGGTTCCTTAATTAAGGTTAAGGGTTCAAATTCCGACGTTTATGTATGAAGCAAACTGAGTTGAAATGGTCGCCCCCATAATGAGCTTATGTAAAACTCGATTTAGATTAATCGTTCAATAGATTGAATATAAGTGATTAAATATATATATATATATATATATATATATATATATATATATATATATATATAAATCTAAATTATACCTCTTTTTTATATTTAGATGTTCAATTTTTCGATCAATGTAAGTGCCTAATATTATAAACAATATCATTTTAAATACTTATTTCGTAATTATTGTTAAAAATTAGTTAATCAATTAATATTCAATATGTGATTTAATTTTATTTATTTTAATTTTTTTAAAAATAAAATTCATAAATTTAAAAGAAAATCTAATTTTTCTTATTTTTTTATAAAATACCCAAAGACATTAAATTCTATTATCGATCACTATCACCGTTGTCGATTATTCACTCACCGGCAACCACTCACACACCGACCATTCACCCTCTTATTGCGATAGATGTGTGCTGAGATTTAGGAATTTGAATTCAGAGATTTTTTAGGATTGAAATTACGAGTGACAGTCGATGACGAGTGGATAGGGAGATAGGCGGCCAACGGGGGCGGCAACGGTGGTGGACAACCAATGAGTGAGATTGATGCTTTGAGATTAAGGATTTTGAAAATTTTAAGATTTTAAAAATATTTTTATTTTTTTCAATATAATTTTAAATTTTTTTAAATAAAATTTTGAAAAATTTATAAACGCATAATGTGTCACATTTTGAATAGTTGATGGTATTTTTTAATAGTTGTTATAGTGCAGACATTTAAAATTGTAATATTTGTAACGCTAGACACTTATATTGATAAAAGAAGTTTAAACACCTAAATGAAAAAAAAGAGTATAGTTTAATTTTTTTATATCAAGTAAAAAGGATGAATTTTAAATTTAATCATTGAATGTGTAATGTTATATAATTATACATACAAATTTTGATTTTGATTCAATTGTTTACATAATTTTTTGATTAAATTATACATATATATAAAGATGAATATAATAATTTATTTTCATATCTATTAAATAAAAGTTAATATCATTATTTCAGTAAGGATATATTAACTAATATTTTAGTTTTCTTTTAATTTTTATGACATGGTAAAAGATGATAAATTAATCGAAATCATTTTAGAAATATTGCTATTATTTTATTATATTTGAATTAAATTAAAAAAAAAATTTAAAGCTAAAATATAAGGAAATCTTTTTAGCCTAGAAACATATAGCAACTTGGGGAGGCAGAAATAGGTGGCCTCATGCACGCACCAAAACAAAGTTGAGTAGCCAAAAAAAAAAAAAACTCACCCTCGGTCCCTGCCCATGCCTCTAATCTAGAGCTTTTTGCAACTTATCAGCTTAAATTATTATATATCTCATCGATGTGGGATGCTCCATTCATGACCTGTCTCCTTTAATCATTTCTCTGTTGTTTATAATCGACAACTGAATAATGATTAATTAACTATGAAAAAGAAAGAATATCAGACAGAGACTTTGCTGAGCATCCAACTTCCTTTTCAATGGGGATTTAATCTTTTTTATATTATTAAAACATGCAATGCAGTATGATGGTCTAATGGTCAAATCGAATTTCGGCGATTCGAATGTTAAAAAAACAAAGTAAATAGCAGTGTAGAGGGAATAATTAAAAGAATCCACTGGCTCTCTTTTGTTAGTAAAGAAGACGATAAAAATAGCAGTAGCGGGCACTAGCGTTAGCATAATTCCCTCGCCATATACAAAATTATCGGGAAGAACGGTAAAGATGATTCCCAGGCCCCAAAGTATGTGTGGATATCCCCTTCCCCTTGGCCGTGAATGCAACGCAGCATCTGCCGTTACCTCCTTTTATCTTTGACTCCATTTTCTTTTGCCGAAAGAGGAAAATAAACAATGCTTTGGTTTTTCTTACTTAGCATCCACTATTCCAGACGTAAACAAATAAAGCATTCGACGAATTACCCGTTAAATATTTGTTTATGTTCGTTATTAAGCTAAATAAACGAGTGAATGACTGCGAGAAATGGTGGGGGCAGCATCATCGTTGTCAGTAATTACCACACATTCTCACATGCACGCAGCATATGTATGTACGCATGTAGAAGAATTCAGAATCCAACAAAAATGGCGTTTCTATCTTCTGTCGAACTTCTCAGACCTTAGTTATTTACTATTTTCGGCTTCTTCTTCGGGTCTCCCACTTGCTTCTCTATTGGGTACTTTTCAGATTAAATGGTATGTTTGTTCTTCAACTTGGGTGATGGATTATTAGAAGAGACAAGACATTTTACCTAAATCCTAAAATTTAAAAAGTGTTTATGGAAATAAATTTGATCTCGATAATTAACAATTCATCCTTTTTGATTTAGAAATATAGTCATATGCAATAGGAGAACTATTGTTTACCTTTTTTTTATGAGAGAGAGTTTATCGATGATGAATGGGTGGAGGAGAAGAAAGTGACCAACCCCTTTATCAGTTGTAATCGTTGAATATTTTTAGTATCTCTAGCTGGTGGTATCAGACATAGAATTATAATGACTACTTGTAGGTAAGTAGATTAAGAATAAATCTGGTAATGCTTTCTAAAAACACTTTGAGCTTAAACACACGTTTCAATTGCAAAATCAATGTCAAACTGTTAAAAAATGAAAAAAAAATTGCTGTGAAAACGATGGTTCCAAATCAACTGTAAAAACTATGATTTATAGTATTTTCATTTTAACTTTGCGTTTGGAAGTAAATTATAATTTTACCTTTACTAATGCATGAGCTCCACTCAATTATATATTTGCATTTTATTTTAATAATTTAATGCTAACATCTTTAAAAAATATTTTATTGCTTTTAATAATTTATTTTAATATTAAAAATAAAAAATTCATGATTTATGTATTAGTAAATATTAATAACTAGTTATATAAAATATATTTTTATTATAATTATATTTTATTTTTATATTTTTATTATAGTTAAATTGATATAATTAATTTATAATATATTATATTTTTTGATTTATAATAGTTTAAATTAATATGATTCATGTATAAAAGTAAATTTAATTTAAATGATATATTTTTAATTTACAATATAATGACCATAATGGACATTTTAAAAGTTTGTTTCTGCATCACTTTTAAAAATCACGTTTCCTGTACGAAACTGGCCCTAAATGGATCTAATAATCAAATGTTTGGATCTCGTTTTAATATGTCACGTGAATTTATTAAAGATCTTATGTATATATTGTAATTGATCTGAAAATTTATTTTTAGAAGATGCGAACTTTTTGAAGGTTCCGTTAAACGAAAAATCTATTTAAAAGATCTTAATCGACGAAGAAGTGACAATTTTTTGATATTATTTTTCAAACAAGTAACAAAAAGGAATCTCACTCCACATTTAACCCTAGTTTCTACTTGCCCCAAACAGGTAATCGCACATTGTTGTAGCTATACCATGGAAATGGAATAGCAAACTTGATCTTGTACCACTTGTCAATATTTAAGATTACCCTATTGAAGTGATGATAATAAAGGGAACCTAGGAAGAGATTAGGATTATATTTAATGGTTTGGAGTTGGTATTTCAATGAATTAAGGGAAAGGAAGGTGGGAGGCCACCACAAAGAAGACTAACCCTACACCAAATAGCTTTTAACACACGGTAGAAATTCTTGTTTCTTTCTCTCCAGCTATATATTTATATGCTCTCTACTGCACTTCCCAAAACCCCAGTTGAAAGGAACTTAATTAGCTTCTCTCTCCCTTACCCCAAGGCAACAGCCACACCAACACTTCATTTTCTTTTAGTCATGCCTCCCAACTGCATAGCACCAAAACCTGAACATAGCAGCAGCAATGGACGAGTGGAAGCACTGTCAGAGATGTCCAAGTCCCTTAAAAGGGCTGCCTTGTTTCCCATAACTTTGAAGGTCTCTTTCTACATTATTTAGCTATCGATGCTTTTTTTTTTGCTTATGATGAATTAATTAGTGTTTTAATCTTGTTTTTCGTATTGGTTTCTTTACACAGTTTGAGGAGATAGTCTACAAGGTCAAGTTGGAGCAGAAAGGATCATGCTGGGATTCATGGATCACCCGAGAAAAGACCATACTCAATGGAATTACAGGAGCAGTTTATCCCGGAGAAATACTGGCAATGTTAGGTCCATCGGGAAGTGGTAAAACCACCCTCCTTACTGCCCTCGGCGGCCGTCTCACTGGAAAACTATCCGGGAAGATAACCTACAATGGTCAGCCCTTTTGTGGTGCCTTGAAACGAAGAACGGGTTTCGTGGCTCAGGATGATGTTTTATACCCCCATCTCACGGTGACCGAGACCCTTTTATTCACAGCACTACTGAGGCTACCCAACAGCTTGAGCCGAGACGAGAAAGCCGAGCACGTCGAGCGGGTCATCGCCGAGCTGGGATTAACTAGGTGTCGAAACAGCATGATCGGGGGACCACTCTTTAGAGGTATCTCAGGCGGGGAGAAGAAAAGGGTTAGCATTGGCCAGGAAATGCTAATCAACCCGAGTCTACTTTTGCTAGATGAACCCACCTCGGGTTTGGACTCGACCACGGCACAACGGATCCTGACCACGATCAGAAGCCTTGCCAGTGGTGGTCGAACTGTTGTCACCACCATTCATCAGCCTTCGAGTCGACTGTATCACATGTTCGACAAGGTGATCTTGCTCTCGGAGGGCTGCCCTATCTACTACGGTTCGGCATCCACAGCGTTGGATTATTTTTCTTCCATTGGCTTCTCCACCTCCTTGACTATCAACCCAGCAGATCTGTTGCTTGATCTTGCAAACGGTAATTTTTTTTTAGCTTTGCTACATATATTTACTTCCCTTTATATATGGCATATGAATATGATCCGTTGGCCTACCATAAATATATGGTGCTTCCACCTTTATATCCTCCTTATGGACAATGGAGTATTGTCAGATCCCACCCTTTGAATTGCTTTACCATTACATGCTCAGATTCTGTAATCATTTCCATCAATACCAAGCTCTGAAGTACACCAAATTTCAATGCAGGAATCAATCCTGATTTTAAGCCCTCGGGTGAGCAAGTTGAAAACACGGAAGAAGAAGAGAAATCGTTGAAGGATGCTCTGATTTCTGCTTATGAGAAAAACATTTACACAAGACTGAAAGCCGAGCTTTGCAGTACGGATGTGAATAACAGTAACTACGTCAACACAAAAGAAGCATCTGCAAGTAAAATTTTTCCCATATAAATTTAACTATGGTTTTTTTAGATGAATTCCAGTCTAAGTTGTAATAATTGACGCAGGAAATGACATGTCCGAACAGTGGTGCACAAGCTGGTGGCACCAGTTCAAGGTGCTGCTCCAGAGGGGGGTTAGAGAAAGGAGATATGAAGCCTTCAACCGACTAAGGATTTTCCAAGTGATCAGCGTGGCGTTTCTGGGTGGACTTCTATGGTGGCACACACCAGCTTCCCACATCTCAGACCGAGTAAGTCGAACGTCTCTTCTTTGTTAACCATTTACAATAAAACTAAGCTAAGGTTTCAACATCTTCTAACTTCATTTGGTATCTTAACCAACAGATTGCACTGCTATTCTTCTTCTCCGTCTTCTGGGGCTTCTATCCGCTCTACAATGCGGTATTCACGTTCCCTCAAGAAAGAAGAATGCTCATCAAGGAACGATCTTCCGGCATGTACCGCCTTTCATCCTACTTCCTCGCCCGAACATTCGGTGACCTCCCGCTGGAGCTTGGTCTCCCAACTGCTTTCGTCTTCATCATCTATTGGATGGGTGGCCTGAAGCCCGATCCGCTTACCTTCATCCTCTCCCTGCTGGTCGTGCTTTACAGCGTCCTCGTCTCGCAAAGTCTAGGCCTGGCATTTGGGGCCATTCTCATGGACATTAAACAAGCCACCACGTTAGCTTCGGTTACGACGCTCGTGTTCCTTATAGCCGGTGGATACTACGTTCAACAAATCCCTTCCTTCATTGTGTGGCTCAAATACCTTAGTTATAGCTACTACTGTTACAAGCTTCTACTGGGGGTTCAGTACGATGAGGACGATGTTTACGAGTGTTCCAAGGGGGAACTGTGTAGGGTAGGTGACCTTCCTGCTATTAAGTCAATGGGATTGAACCATCTGTGGATCGACGTGGCCATTATGGCACTCATGCTGGTGGGCTATCGACTCGTCGCTTACATCGCTCTTCATCGAGTGCGGTTGAGGTGAATTCGATACGGCAAAGTCGAATGATTTTAGATGTTTTTTTGAAGAAAATTCAATCAACATCCCTTTGATGAGTCGAAATGTATCCAGTGTGAACCCTTTTCCCCACTTTTTTTTATCATAGTTCTTAGGTAATATACTACTAACAAGTTCTTAATCTAATTTGTGTTTTGAATGTTATACGATGAACAAATGCACTCCACGAATGCTGTAGATCAAGACAATTAAGTAAAAAAAAGTCGTAATGTCAAAATTAGGCCCAATGTTATGTCATTTTTGTTGAATATTCAAGAGCCAACATTGTTGAAAATTAGTAGCAGCCGGCGGCTAAATTTGGTCTTTGATGGGTTGTCTAATTTTGTTGAAAATTGTACAACAATTGTTGTAATGTAATAGGGTTAATTATACTTTAATTATTGTACTTTAGGATATTTTCACAGATTAATTATTAAGTTTCAATTATAAATACTCTAGCTCATTTAGCTTCAAAATCATCTCAAATCATTTTTTTCTCCCAATACTAGAGAGTTTTATTGTGAGTATTGAGTGTTTTGTAAACAACTGTAAATTCTCTCTTTAGTAAAAGATCTGCAGTAGTCCGGAGACGTAAGTAAAATTGACTGAACTCCGTTATCAATTTCGGGTATTATTTTTTCGCTTTTATTTCGCAGTCTCACTAATCTAGTTATAAGGAAATTACATGTTTATTTCCCAACAACTGGTAATCAGAGCTTTTGTTTGTGAATTTTGTCAATTTTTTTGCAATGTTATTATTCATTACTATTCATGTAAATAGTAAAAATTTTGTCGGCTATACTAGTTTGTCGACGGAGATGTTATAATACACGGCGATTCGCAGAAATTGTCAGAAACGATCCAAAGAAGCCAAATTCGAGTGGGAGCGATGACTGCAGACGAATAGAAGGTGAAAATTGAAAAGTTCGATGGTGCAAACTTTGGCTTTTGGAAGATGCAGATTGAAGATTTTTTGTACCATAAAAATCTATATCAACCTCTCTCAGGAAAGCAATCAGAGGGCATGAAGAATGAAGATTGGGCTCTTCTTGATAGACAAGCCCCCGGAGTTATCCGACTGACATTATCCCGCAATGTTGATTTCAATATAGTAAAGGAAAAGACCAACGTAGGTCTTATGGCGACTCTCTCCAGTATGTATGAGAAGTCATCAGTCTCAAAAATGTTCACTTGATGAGGCGATTATTCAATTTGCGGATGACAGAAGGGGCATCGTGGCTCAACACCTAAATGAACTCAACACAATCACAACCCAGTTGAGATATGTGGAAATTGAATTCGATGATGAAGTTCGAGCTTTAATTCTCTTATCATCTATATCAGACAGTTGGAATGCTACTGTTACAACAGTCAGCAGCTTGTCGGGAAACAACAAATTAAAATTCGACGATGTTCGGGATCTGGTATTGAGTGAATAAATTCGACGAAGACAATCAGGTGACGCATCAACCTCCTCAGCCTTGCACACGAAGTCTAGAGGGAGAACTTCAGAAAGAAATTCAAATCGATGCAGATTGAAATCCAAAAGGGGAAAATCAAGAACGGGAAAGAAAGATTTTACCTGTTATAATAGTGGCAAGAATGATCACTTTAAAAGAGATTGTTGAGCACTAAAGAAAGATACTGGTGCAAAGGAATCTGCCAACATGACAGAGGAGACATGTGATGCCATGATTCTAAGCGTCAACAGTCCGATTGAATCATGGATCTTGGATTCAGGGGCATCTTTTCACTCTACCCCATGCCGAGAAATCATGGAGAACTATGTCAGTGGTGATTTTAGGAAGGTTCATCTAGCTGATGATGAAACCTTAAAGATCGTCGAAAAAGGAGATATCCGATTAAAGTTGCCAAACCAGACCACTTGGACGCTGAAAGGAGTGAGCCATATTACTGGCCTCAAAACAAATTTAATATATGTAGGACAGCTTGATGGAGAATGATATTGTACAACCTTTTCAGGCTGTGAATGGAAGATTACCAAAGGAGCACTCGTCATTGCTCGTGGTAAGAAGACTGATACTCTCTATGTAACCTTAAATTTAGAGAATATCATTGCAGTAGTAGATGCTGATGGAAAATCAAACCTATGGCACCAAAGGCTTGGCCATATGAGCGAGAAAATGATGAAGACACTTTTGTCATAAGGGAAGCTGCCGGATCTAAAGAATGTAGATTTCAGATTATGCGAGGATTGCATATTTGGCAAACAAAAGAAAGTCAGTTTTGCAAAGATTGGCAAGACAATTAAGGCAGAAAGGTTATAGTTGGTTCATACTGATGTATGGGGACCATCTCCAGTTCTATCTCTTGCAGGCTCATTATATTATGTCACCTTCATCGATGATTCTACGAGGAATGTATGGGTTTATTTTCTGAAGAAGAAATCAGAAGTCTTTGATACCTTCAGAAAATGGAAGGTCATGGTGGAAAATGAGACTGGTTTGAAAGTCAAGCGGTTGAGGTCTAATAATGGAGGAGAGTATAAAAATAGTAGATTCAGAGATTTCTGCGCAAATAATGGGATCAAGATGGAGATAACAGTTCCCATGACACCGCAGCAGAATGGCGTAGTAGAGCGCATGAACATAACTCTGAATGAACGTGCAAGAAGCATGAGGATACATGTCGGATTACCCAAATTTCTATGGGCTGAAGCTATCAACACTGCAGCTTACTTAATCAACCGTGGGCCCTTAGTTCCTTTGGATGGCGGAATACCAGAGAAAGTTTGGAGCAGAAAAGAAATAAACCTTTCACACTTAAGAGTGTTTGGTTGTATTTCTTATGTACACATAAATTCTGCTGAAAGAAGTAAACTTGACGCCAAGTCCAACAAATGTGTCTTTGTTGGTTATGGTGGTGATGAGTTCGGTTACCGGTTTTGGGACTATAAAAATCGGAAGATCATTAGAAGCAGAGATGTCATTTTCAATGAGAATGTGATGTACAAAGACATATCAACCGTAGAATCAAGTAGCTTCAATACCGAAGCTGAAAAAATGAAATTGCTGAGTTTGAGGAGATTTCTGGAAATGATATTCAAATTAGTAGTGAAGCAGTTCAAGAAGAACCAAGCACACCAGAACTGAGACGCTCCTCCAGAATTCCTAAACCAACTCAGAGTTATTCGCCTTCTTTGCACTATTTGTTGTTGACTGACAATGGTGAACCATAGTGCTATGATGAAGCAATGCAAGTGGAGGATTCAGTCAAGTGGGAGTCTTCCATGAAAGATGAGATGGTCTCGCTTGTGTCAAATCAGACATGGTAATTAGCTGAATTACTACCAGGCAAGAAAGCGTTTCGTAACAAGTGGATTTACAAGATCAAAGAAGAGCACGATAGGAGCAAACACTACAAAGCAAGATTGATTGTCAAAGGCTTTTAGCAAAAAGTAGGTATTGACTACAATGAAATTTTCTCTCAAGTCGTGAAGTTGTCTACAATCAGACTGGTGTTGAAAATTTGTAGTTGTAGAGAATCTACATCTTGAGAAATTAGATGTGAAGACAGCTTTCCTTCATGGTGATTTGGAGGAATAAATCTATATGAGGCAGCCAGAAGGCTTCATAGAGGCAGGCAAGAAGTTCGATAGTTTCATGAGTAGCAGTGGTTTTACCATATGCCAAGCAGATCATTGTTGCTACATCAAGAAGTTCAACAACAGCTTCATTATTTTATTGTTGTACGTTGATGACATGCTTATTGCAGGGTCAAACATGCAAGATATTATAAACTTGAAGCAAAAATTGATGAAGCAGTTTGCAATGAAAGATTTGGGCGCTGCAAAGCAGATTCTTGGGATGAGGATTAAGAGAGACACAAAGTCGGGGACTTTGATGTTATCACAGGCTGAGTACATCAACAAAGTACTCTCCAGGTTCAACATGAAAAATGTTAAACCAGTAAGTACACCTTCAGGTGTTCATTTTAGACTCTCCAAAGAACAATCACCAAAGACGGATGAAGAACGTACACACATGGTGAAGGTGTTGTATGCCTCAGCAATTGGAAGTCTGATGTATGTCATGGTTTGTACTAGACCATACAGTGCTCATGCAGTGGGAGCTGTTAGCAGGTACATGAATAATCCGAGCAAGGTACACTGGGAAGTAGTCAAATGGATCCTCAGATATCTACTGGGTACTACAGATAAAGTACTTTGTTTCAAAGGTGGAGATACGATACTGACAAACTATGTAGATGTTGACTTAGCCAGAAATGTTGACATCAGAAGGAGCACTACTGGGTATGTCTATACTCTAGGAGGAACCGCAGTGAGTTGGGTTTCTCAACTACAGAAGATAGTTGCTCTCACCACAACTGAAACATAATATGTCGCTGTTACGGAAGCCAACAAGGAGATGGTTTGGCTCCAAAGTTTCTTGGAAGAGTTAGGCAAGAAACAAGAAAACAATATCTTGTATTGCGATAGTCAAAGTGCTATCCATCTAGTAAAGAATCACTCTTTTCATTCCAGGACGAAGCACATACAATTGAGATATCATTTTATCCTGTCTCTTCTGGAATATGGGATTTTGAAACTTGAAAAGATTAGTGGAGCTCAAAATCCGACAAACATGTTGACAAAGATAGAGACTACGGACAAACTGAAGTTGTGTTCAGCTTCAGTTGGCATGCTAGAAAAACAAGACCAGAAATGTTGTTGCATCGATCGAGGTGTGAAGACATATTAAAATCAGTCTTCAAGTGGGAGATTGTTGAATATTCAAGAGCCATCATTGTTGAAAATTAGTAGCAGCCGACGGCTAAATTTGGTTCATGGTGGGCTACCTAATTTTGCTGAAAAATGGGCAGCAACTGTTGAAATGTAATATGGTTAATTACACTTAAGCTTCAACTATAAATACTCTAGCACATTTAGCTTCAAAATCATCCCAAATCATTTCTTTCTCCCAATACTATAGAGTTTTCTTGTGAGTAGTGAGTGTTTTGTAAACACCTGTAAATTTTATCTCTTTAGTAAAAGATCTGCAGCTGTCCGAAGATGTAAACAAAATCGGATGAACTCCGTTATCAATTTCGGGTATTATTTTTCCGCTTTTATTTTACATTCTCACTAATCTGGTTATAGGAAAATTACTCGTTTATTTCCCAACAATTTCTTAGGTAATATACTACTAACAAGTTCTTAATCTAATTTGAGTTATGAATGTTATACGATGAACAAATGCACTCCACGAATGCAGTAGATCAAGACAATTAAGTAAAAAAATAGTCATAATGTCAAAATTAGACCCAATGTTATGTCATTTTAACCCCTATTCTCTTTCTAGATTAATTTGGACCTTTAATATTTTGTTTTGGGATAAAAAAGTTATTCTGTTAATAGAAACAATTCATTAACAAACTATTAACATTATAAAATGAGGTTTTTTTTATCTTAAAATATAACGTTAGGAGGTAAAATACCTTAAGAAAAAGTAGGGATCAATTCAGTCATGGGATTAATTCTAACATTGTGGCATATGGAAGACCAGACTCCAACGAGCCCCACTAATATTGTGGGGGTTTTTGGTGGGGCTGTGAATCTAAACCCACTTTAACAGAATCATCTAAGAGGGCTATACTTAGCGCACTCAACAGGGATAAAATAATAATAATAATAATAATAATAATAATAATAATAATAATAATAATAATAAATGGAACACCTGATCATAGTGATGACTGATGGACTGATGGACAAGACAGGAGTTAATCAGAGCATACCACCGAAGCTTTCTTTCATTTTTATATTAAAAGTTAAATTTTTAATCAGTAAAAAATGGGGGTGGGAGAGATATCTGGATTCAGTTAAAGATGGATCTTCAGGTCAAAGCAATTGAGACAAAAAATGAGAATCGTCATCAATATCATGTTCCGCCATTATTCTCAGTAGAATACTTTTGCAGTGAGATTTGCATCCACGTGGTGGGGGATAGGGTGTAGAAAGAAGATGAGTGGAGAAACATGCAATCAAGAAATGTCACCAGAGGTGGGCATACTTGCATGGGCATGGCGTTTCCTACTTTGAACATGATGGATGGATGGATGGTGTATCCACATACATCATCCTTATACAACACCAAAGCAAAGAACAGTTTATAAACATGTACACTGTCATCATCCATGTCCTTTTTATTCTTTAAATACATGCATGTGGATTATGTGGGTTTCATTTTTCAGCTTTTGTGAAAGTGCTAACCTCACTGCAGGCCTAACTCAATACAAAACAAAACGGGTATATGTGTAATAAATATATCAGCTTGATTCGGGTCTCAAGTTATGAAATAATGCAATTTTGAGGATTCCTTGTCAGCTTGCTCAACTCACCATGCAATAAGAGCTGATAATGCTACCGTTTACGATTACTAAGTTTAGAGAAAGAGCCTCAAAAGCACCAAGTGGTATTATCATCCATCTCACCATGCAGGTCAGGCGTTTCTTAACTGATTACCATGTAGCAGTTCGGTTAATTAGATTCGAAATCGATTAGTTAATCAAATTAATTTAAAATATTATATATATATATATATATTAGGATCAATTCTATTAAACTACATCATGCATTATCTGCTTATAGGATTAGGATGGAGGCAAAATTGACCCAATAGGCTAGACGAGTAAAAAATATTGGCCCATAAGGTTATCTTCAAAATTAATTTGAGATTTACGACAAATGCTATAAGAGCTGAGCAAAATCGTCGCTCACATGATGAGTTTGTGCAAATAATATTTTTTATTTAAATTTTTCACGTCGAGATGATAAGTTCCCAAATAATATATATAATCTTTTATTAAAATTTTTTCACAGCGGTGTGACAAGTTCCAATAAAAAATAAATTTTATTGGAATCTGTCATGCTCACGTGACGAGTTTCAAATTACTATAGCAAATGTTGTAGTTCAAAAAAAAAATCTAATGTCGTATTGGGCTAAATAATTAATCAATCTACGATATTGGGCTAATTTGGCCCAGGATGGAACTTTGTAAAGCTGTTAGGCCCATCAAGAGTGGTTAGGCCAGCCCAAGAAACGGAATTCCCAATCCCTAGTCCCGAAGCTGGTACTAGCAAAATTGGGGTTGAAAGCAGAAGAGAACGAAATCAGACGCTGTTTAGGAAATAGAGTAACCCACTGAAGAAGAAGAAAACAGTGAGAGGTTGATAGGATGATGGAATCGTAGAGGAGGGGGAGGAATAAGGCTGAGCAAACGGTTCTCCGATGACAAGCCCGGCACTTCAGGCTTAAGTAAGTGGTTTCTTTAACAATAGTATTACATTCATTTAAAATTTAATTATAATGATAATTTTAGCCGTTAATTGTTACATATTTTTTATAACCACTGTTATTCGTTTTATTAATTCACTAATTCAAATTAGGTGCACAGAGGTCTATTATGGAGATGACTTTTCTAACTCTTTTTGTTCATTCATAACATCTGAATTCATATCTCTAATGTTATTTAAGAAATATAATCTCATCTTATCAGACCAATTGATTCTCAATAATTGTTGCATATTTAATTATTTTGTGGTTCTTATTCCTTTTATTTTGTGGTTCTTATTTTTTATAAGAAGTGTCGATGAATAAACTCTAATTAAAACCTAAATATCTATGATATGGCATCTTGTATAGCAAGTCAATATGTATTTTTTGTTAATTTTTTGAAATTTTAAATTAATTTTTTAATATTTTTAAATTCTTACATATTGACATGATATATAAAACATAAGACAATGTTCACCTGAATAATTTTATGAATTGCCATGTAAAAATTGCTAAAAAATTAATTACTCTCATTTTATAATTCATTATTATAACATATAAAATATAATATCATGTTAAAATAAAATATAAGTGAACGAATTATCACATCAAATAGTATCGAGAATCAATATATTAGTTAGTACTTTCCGTTAACAAACCAATAAAAAAAATTGAATTAGGAGCTGACAGTGAGGGTGGTGGAGAAAATTGCTGGGAGAATTAGGAGCTAGCTGTCAAAGTGTTTGTCGTTTGAAGGAAGGTTGCAGTTGATTCAGTCTATTATTTTTAGTATTCGGAATTTTTGGAGTCGGGTCTTCTTGATATCCTCTAAAGTTCTTAAGCAGATTGAGCAGCTTTGTAATTCGTTTCTTTGGAAGGGTTTGGATGGGTCTGCGAGATGTGTGCTTTCCAAAGGGTGAAGGGGGACATGGGGTCAAGGATTTGCTTGTATGAAATTTGTTTGTGGTTGCTTATGGTTAAAGCTGGTTCTCTTTAGGTGGCCTGGACTGATACTTACGTTTTGAAGGGGCGTACTATTTGGAAGATGCCTCAGGGGGGTCAAGTTGGGTCTGGAAGAAGATTATGAAGCTGAGGGATGACTTTGCTGTTGTGGGTAATGTTGTTGGGGGGTTTAAAACTAGGAAGGTATAGGATATCCTTCGACATAAACAGGCGAGGGTACCTTGGACTAAGGTTCTTTGGGATGGGTTATCGATTCCTCGGTATTCTTTCACCGTTTGGTTGGTGGTTTTGAATAAGTTGCCAACGAGGGACCGTATGCGTGTTTGGGGTGTTCATGTTGATCCTGCTTGTGTTTTTTGTGCAGATCATGATGAAACTAGATATCAACTTTTTGCTGATTGTATTTTCTCGAGGAATGTTTGGGAGTTGGTTATGCGAGCTTGCCATGTTAACTGGCGTGATGTCTGTTGGCATGGTATGTTAGATTAGGTGCAAGGTCATGGGCGGGGTAAATCGATGAGGGTTACTGTTGTGAGGTTGGCCTGGTATGGGTATCTTTATTTTATTTGGCAGGAAAGGAATGCCAGACTCCTTGGGATTGACCTGAGATAGGCTGAAAGGCTGGTTTTTCAGATTAAGCAATCTGTTAGGATGAGGTTAAGGGTTTGTGTGGAAGTTACTGCTTCATCTTCTGAGGAATGGGGTCTGTTTTAACTGGCATGTGTTGTTATTAGGTTATTGTGTGATTGGTGATTTGTCGGAATTTTAGTTTGTTTGGTGTTCCTGATTTATATTTGTTGGTGTACAGGGATGGTCTCGTTTGGATGAATAAAATTTTTCATTTATCCAAAAAAATTGAATTTTTATGGCTCTGGATTTCTTTAAACGGTGTTGATCTAACTCTATTGTGTTCGTTAACAAAAAAAAAACTATTATGTTTCAATAGAGTTTTATACGCGCACAAACGTAGGATAAAATCAACAAACATGAAATTTTATTTTGTTCTCTCAGCCTCTTCCCCTGTAATTGGTCTTAGTTATCATTGTTCTCCGACCTGGGTTTCGAAACATAATCATAACAACCTAACTTAAATGTAATAAATATAAATTTTACGCGAAATCTCTCTCTTTAAGCGACTTAAACAATTTTAATTTGGATTCACCGAATGATCTTAATAGTTGTAAAAAAAGTTGTTCTCTCTTAAAATCCCAAGTTTAAACAAGTATGTCTTTAAGCGACTTAAACAATTTTAATCTTGTTTTCCCGTCGTCCCCTGCAATCAACGGGTAAAGAAGACAAATTGGACGCTCAATATAATCTCGTCACTAAATCATTATTTGAATACTCAAAAAGATTTGTACTAACTAGACCAATTTAGACTAATTTTTTAAATATTATTAAGTTTAGATAAATCGGACTGATTCACTCGATGCACCTCAAAGATTTAGGCCCATAATTTGTTAGTTTTAAAGTGGGGTATATATGATAATGAAAAATAAAAAGCAAACGCCTAGCTACACTGATGATTCAAATATCTCTTATTCTACTCCATTCCCTGCTCTTCTAAACGTGAGAAAAAGGGACAATGGATATGCAATTAAGTCCAAAAAAGAGCAGGAGTATTCTTCTAACTCACCAAATATCAACCAAAATGGTTAGTAAAACATGAAGGAAAACAACACAGTAGGATAATCATACGATAATTTTCTAAAATAAACGGCACACCACTGCCGCCGCAGCCATCAACACCTCTTTTTTTCTTATCAACGGCATATCAGATACCCACCATGAACATGTCTTCTTTTTCATCTCATAATTAGCAACTGCAATGGACAAAGTTCAGCACCCGCCACATAAATATATAACAGAGAGCATTGATTTCAGACCTGTCATTAAATGTCTCAATCATCTAGATAATAATAGGACCCAGCAGACTTCTGCTCTCGATCCTTAGTTGAGTCCAATTTGTTGATCCTAGGTCGGTAATTGGTCGGGTCCCGCCTGAAAGTGATGTCCAGATGCTGTAGAGTGCCGCAATGTCAAACAGCGAGCACCACCAGAAATTTCAAATGAATAGCAGTACAGCACAATCAATCTATACAAGGGAATTATGTGAAACTCACCGATAAGAAGAGATTCATGCCAGTCAACAAGGACTGAGAAGAATTTGCAATACAATCCACCGATGGTGTCCCTTCATACACAATAACTCGGTCTGCAAGATATGTCGCCATTATAAAATCGTGTTCAACCACAAATGCGGTTTTCTTTGCATGGAGGATAAACCTCTTTATAACTTTAGAAGCAACAATACGCTGCTCAGAGTCGAGATAAGCACTCGGTTCATCTATCAGATAAATATCTGCTGGCTGGATGACATAAAACAAACATGTGCATCAGGCAGGCTAGAAGAGACAATACTAGGAATCTGAAAAGGGAAAACACATGACCCAAAAACCAATTGACATACCAACATTCTATAAAACAATCAAAGGGAAAACTGAAAAAAAAATAGAAACATAATGATCAAAGAGAAACTGAATAAAAAATTAGAAACATAACAATCGAAGTTAAACTGAATAAAAAGTTAGAAACATAACAATGCAACTCTTAATTAGGATCGTCTAAAACCAAATAGAACTTGATCTATTGCATCACTTGACTTTGTATATCCACAACCTTGATCCAGAGAAACTATGATTCAATAGCTCTCAATTCCTAGAATTCACCATGAACCACCGCGTATTTCATATATGTTATAAGAATTTATCAAATTTCAAATGGAGCCAATAATGTGTTTCGAGTACCAAACACAATACATGTTCTGCGACTTAGGAAGACCTACAACTTGCAAATTAAGTTATTAATAATAATAAAAGAGTTGAAAAAACTGTATAGGCCCTTCAGCATACCCAAGTAGATACCCCTATATACTAAAAGGACTCTAATTGAATACAAGTCCAAACACAAGAAGATACTAGTGTTGGCAAATGCACAAGGAAGCCCACAACTACACATATGGACATGAAAGGTAATGCTTAGTGTTAAAAGGAGTTATCCCAAAACTTAGGTTAGGATGAGGTAAGAACAGAAACCAGCACCTCCAATAATTTAGGTTCAAAACCAATCACATTTCAAACTTGTAAGGAGGTACAGAAAAACTTGGAAAATTTAACTCCAATCTCTATCCTTACATTTTTAGCTAATTCAGAAACATTTACCTTTCCAAGGCATAGACATAATGCAACTCTTTGCAACTCCCCTCCAGAGAGATTCACTACTTCCTGATCCATCAATTGCTCAATGAGAAGTGGCTTCATCACATCTGAAACAAATTGAGGATGCATGTATGAATCGCGTATCTTTTGATGCAGCAAGTGCCTGACTGTAGATTGAAATTTGGGACTGATCTTTTGAGGTTTGTATGAAACATTAAACTCAGGGATCTCCACATCTGAACCTTCTACATTATCAGGTTTCAACAAACCAGCCTGCAGGTTCATCCAATAATATTAATAAACTTATTCAAGAGACAAGAGAGTAACAATGAATTAAAACAGGTAATAATGAATGCACAAATGATGGAAGAGCAAAATACCAGCATACGAATAAAAGTGGTCTTCCCAGTACCATTCTCTCCCAACATTACAATAATCTGAGAATCAGTAAATTCACCCTCCATAACTTTAAGTCTAAAATTGCCCTGAGTTTTAGTCATGGTTGGGTATTTATATCGTGCATAGGTTTCAATTTCTTCAGCACTTTCTTGTGGGGTCTCTGCAACCTATAAAAAAGAGGAAACAGAGAGGTTAAGAAAAGAATTTAAAGACGAATGACACACGCACAAATGACAAGAGAAACAGGCGTACCTTAAAGGTCAAGGAGTCATCTCGAAACCTTAGGTTTTCAGTAGGGACAAATCCAGCCAAAAAGATATTTATTCCCTCTCTTACAGAGAAGGGAAGGGTTACAACTCCATATGCCCCCGGTTTCCCGTACAAGCAGCAAATGAAATCTGATAAATAATCCAGGACACTCAGATCATGCTCGACCACAATCACAAAGCTGGAATAAAAATGAAGTATTGTTCCCCAATTAGAACCATTCAATCTATAAGAAGCATTAGATACTAAGGACAAGAGATTTAACCTGTTGGGCCTGAGCAAAGATCGGATGACTTGTGCTGCTTTCAATCTCTGTTTCACATCCAGATAACTCGAAGGCTCATCAAACATATATATTTCAGCATTCTGTATGGCAACAACAGCAATAGCAAATCTCTGGAGCTCTCCACCAGATAAATCCCCAACATTACGGTCTATGACCTGGTTCAGTTCAAGATCGGCACAGAGTTCAGCCTTCATATCTCTCTCATCTTTTTGGTCAAGCACCTGTCCGACATTGCCTTGAACTGCCTTTGGAATATGATCAACATACTGTGGCTTGATGATGGCCTGTTTAACATAAAAAATATCAGAAAATATTAAGGAAAAACAGGGAATTGCAGGGACTCATCAAAGTTGCTATAATCAGAGCAGCAACAGTATTAAAAATATAAAAGTTAACAATAGAGTAAACAATTATTATCGATCATTGAATTTTCTTCTGTAAACTTCATATATGTAGCTTTACATAACAAGTACAATTCTAGGTGATTCAACTATACAATTTTAACTGCAAAACTAAACTAGCTTAACTTTGCAGAAGCTTTTCCCAAGGATGCTTAAGAGGTAAGATTGAGACAAATAAAGAAATTCAATACCAATGCTGGAAATACAATAGAAGTAGAAGAAACAAAAAGTTTATGGTTAAACTATAGGTGAATATTTGAATCTAGTGTGTCACACAATATCGTTTTAGGGAAGAAATATTAATATCAAGGAAGATAGTCATAGAACTTGATGTTGATGCAATCATACTCATTAAATCTCACAACCTAATTGTCAGGAAAACCTTCAAACAAACTAGCAAGACCAATAAAGAATGTCTTGACATCATATGTGACTAGATTATCCAGAACTCTCATCATCTTTCCCATCAGAACTTGTAAACGAATATAAAAAAAGAAAAGAAAAATGCAAGTTGAAGATGCACAATCAAAATGCAATGTTAAGAACCTTCAGATTATCTTCCAAGATGCGGGTAAAATAATTCTGCAACTCAGATCCTCGAAAATAGGTCAATATTTCCTGCCAATCTGGAGGGTTCTGCATATAGATTATCCAAACAGGTAAACAAAAAAACAGTGAAAGAATCAAATAAGGAAACAAAACCTCCGAGAGTTACATTGAAACGGCCCAAATTTGGCTTTAGCTTCCCAGCCAGAACTTTAAGAGCAGTTGATTTTCCAATACCATTGGTTCCAACCAGACCAAGAACTTGCCCAGGCCTTGGAACTGGTAACCTAAAATTGCAATTCAAAACCATCTCAAAATGGAGGTGGAGGGAGAAAGAAACAAGAAATAACAGAAATTGAAAAACAGCAAAATTGAACCAACCTGTGTAACTTGAAAGTATTGGGGCCATATCGATGGGTTGTATCTTTATCCAAATCTCTTGGCAAGTTGATGATTTGAATTGCTTCAAATGGGCATTTCTGTATGAGAAGATAATTGGTTCATCTTCATGATAGGCTCTTGTTCATCCACACACAGAGAAACCAACAGCAATGTCATATCAAAGTAAAACTACATACCTTGACACAGATACCACAACCAATGCATAACTCCTCAGAGATGAAAGCAATCTTTGAGGCAGGGGAAACCTCAATGCAAAGTTTCCCTGCAGACAGAAACAAAAGTGAGATGGAAAATCATGAGCAGGAGAAGAAGGATAAACTTGACCCAAGTAACAGGCTAACAGCCAGCTTGAATAACAAGTATCCAACTAGACAACAAATTACAAGCATTAACAAGATCCAAAAAACAAGGTTATTTTAGTGTTGACTGAACCTGCAAGTGAAAGACGGTATACACACACTATGTCAGAAACATTATTGTTATAAGAATTTCATATAGCCGCTTAATGACAAGGAGGCGACCCTTAGAACTTTTAGATCCCATATTCAAGTCCTACCATGTTTGATTTCTGTCTAGATTTATTCTGGTTTAAGTCATTATCAGCCCAAAATTAATTATTCTGGTTGTAGTTATTTGGATGTATTGAATTGTGATAGTAATGGCAATTTCCCAAAAAGAAATCCAAGTCAATATAATATATATATATATATATATATCGTGTCTTCCTCTACAATATGTCATCTTCTTCTACTTTTCTATTATTCTATAATATTATTCTCCCTATTTTATACGGTTCTCTATTTCTTTCAGGTTACTGAATGATAATAAATCAGCTCTCGGTACAAGCACTGCAACTTTCCTTGTTCCTTTCACGGATTCTCCAATAATCAACATGGTTTGGGGAAAATTAATGAAACGCTTCATTTAAGCTAATTCAATTAATATGGAATTAGATTACCTACAAATTTTCAAACCCCGAAAACAGGAAAAGCCACATAAAAAAATAGGAAAAAAAAAGAACTCAGAGATGGAGTGAGTAAAGCTTAGATTACCAGTTTTAACAACAGGGCAGCTCTTCTTGCACTCTTGGCGGCACTTCTTGGGCTTGCAGCGGTCGGAGCTGACAATCGCGATACGTGTCAAGCGATCGGACATCTCGCCGTCTGAAGAATCGATAGATTGAGTAGGTCTAGGGATTTGAAGGTCGAGTGGCGTTTTATAGCTTCTGTTGATGGAATTGAAAGAGAGAAAAGAGGGTGTGAGGCGTGTGCTACTATGGGAGAGATTTGGAAGGAGAAGAGATGAGCGTACAGCACACGCAAATCACGTGGACGGACAGTTTAGGGTTTTCTCTTCTTATATGTTTTCTTTATGAAACCGAATAAGTTTTGGTCGTTTACTTATTATATTTATTTTTTAATATAATAAATTAATTTTATTCAAAATAAAAAATATCTCAAATTACAATAAAAAATTACAACCACAATCGAAAATTAAACACATAATTAGGAATTTTTCCTATAATCATTGAAACGAAACTAGCAACTTAAGATCACACAAGGACTATACAAGAAAGATTAAATTTAACAAAGAAACTTAAACAAAGATAGATACAAACTGATATGATCGTATCGACAAATAAATCACAAAAGAGAATCGAGCTATTAAAAGACCACTAACAAACTACAAATCATACTTCAGTGACGTGAAAAGCTATTTACGAATGCAAATCGGGTATTCAAATCTAATCCGATGGTCCAAAGTAGGGAAGACAAACAAGATATCAGATAAGCGTCATCTTAATCAATCGTGATGACATCAAATCAATCCTTAGGGAAAAAATGAAAAAAAAGACCAAAGAACAAAAAAAAAACATGCCAAAAAGCATAAGAAAACATGTCATAAAGGCATATGAAAACGTAAAACACAATTAGACTTATTGAGGGAAAAAAGAAAATAAAGATACAATATAAAAAAAGACAATAAAGAATTCCAATAATCGGCAACCAACATTAAATTTGATATTGCCGCTGATCAACTAAGATGAAAAATAAAAAATATGAGCGACACACCAATTAGAGAAAACTACTTATTACATTTAATATTAGTCTGAATTATTTTAATTATAAATATAAATATTAATTTTGAAAAAAAAACTCATATTATTATGAATATTTATTTATGTAAATGTCTCTATGTCTTTTATCTCCAACTATAAGGTAAGGTTTTGATATATTTAATTATTAGAATTTTAATATCCATTAGAGCTAAAATCCTAAATGATATCTATTCTTTATGTTAATAAATATGAAGTTTAAAAAACATTGTATGTAACTGATATTGAGATATTAATATAGTTCTCTCCCTTTATTCCTATATGTCTTGTTCTTTTTGGTCTTCTTATTGTTTGATTTAGATTGTTTCATAACACAAATAAATATATATGTAGGTGTGAGTGCGTTGTCTAATTTAAAAATTGAATAAAAATATTATCCTCTGATCATTACACAATATTAAAAAAATATATTTAATATTATATTTTCTAAGTTATTGTTAATATGGTGTTTTTTACGTCATTTATATATATTAATCAGTAGGTTACTTGTCCATTTAATTTTGAATATTATATTTTCTAAGTATGCTAATTTTGATGTAATCTATGTGATAACACTGTAACTTTAACATACAGCAAAAAGGAATAAAGGGAAAAGTGTATCTCAATATGCTTTGAATGATTGTTTTTCTCTCAATAGAGAAAACAGGTAAAATATTTAGGAAAATAGTAAAGTATAAGCTTATTTTAAAATATATGATTTTTTTACGGTATTAAAATATCGTAAAAAATATCATATATCCCAAAATAAATTTTTACTTATCTTATTGGGTTAAATAAAAAAAAACTCGTAAATCGGCCAACTTGGCCTTTGAATGAACTACATCTAACACTGGATCCACAAAAATGATCAAAGCATGATTTTCTGTTTATGAGCCCATGACAAGCTAACAGGCTTTTACTATTACCTAGAAAAACTAATAAAGTTTTATTAAATTGAATTGAGTATAATTTTTTTTTATTTTTCAGGTCAAGTTTGGACGGATTAAAAATTCAACATGACCATCATAATATCACTAATAATATTTTTTTAATTAATTTAGGATAAGTAAAAAAATAATATTTATTTAAAGATAACTCTTAATCATTGGACATTAAACGCTCTTAACTATTTGACATTGAAATCTCACATCTTTAATATTTTTAATGTTCAAATCTAAAATCTTAAAAAATAACAGTAATTAATTCACCGTTAAAATCATTTGATTTGTGTTGTTATACTTGAAATTTAGGGTCTGTTTGTTTCACGTAAAACGTTTTCCTCACTTTTCATTGTTTGGTTGGAGGAAAATAGATTTGTCAATGTAAAACATTTTCTGGAAAATGACTTACGGTTTAATTTTTCGTAAGTCATTTTATAAACTTTTCACTTCAAAACATAAATACTCAAAATAATATTATTTTATAAATTTAATATTAATATGATATTTTAGTATCATTTTAATAAAAACTATTAATTATTAACATATTTAAAATATATTTATTAATACTTTTAATAATATAATATAATAATATTATTATTACAATAATATACTCAATTATGTTATAATAATATATGATACTATTATATTCTTATTTTAATAATATATAATCATTTATTAATAAAAGTTATATTATTTATTAATTTCTTTAAAATAATATTATTGAATTATTAATAGTGAATATTTTTATTTATGTATTTAATAATAATATAATAGTCTAATAATTAATCTAATCGAATCAGACCAAAGTACAATTTATTTGAACCACAAAAACCATAAATACAATTTATTTGAACCACAAAAACCAAAACTAATTCTCACTCAAATTTCAAACAATACTTAATATAAAAATAAGTGTTTATATTATACTTATAATTGATTTTTAGTATTTATAAAATTTTTCTTTAAAAATATATGTCTAGTGTTTTTTCGTTACATTTTAAGGTGTTTATTGTTAAAAAAAATACTAAGTGACACGTATTATGTTTATATTTTTTAAATAAAATATTTTATTAAAAAAATCTGAATGTAACACGTGTCATTTAACGTTTTTTTAATGATAGTTATCTAAAAGTGTAACAGAGGAAATATTGAACACATATTTTTAACAGAAAAAAGATTAAGCACAAACAATAATTTTAATTATAGTTTAGGCAATTATTTTGATATTAAGCCTTTAAATAACTTTAGTAAGGCTAAATACAAAAAAAAAATGTCTGAACTATATCGTTTTTCTTATTAGGTGTCTAAACTTTTTTCAGATAATCTAGGTGTCTAACATTTCAAATGTTACGCTTTTAAATGTCTCGGTTATACGAGACGTTAAATTCTGTCGTTGTGTGACATGAACCACAGTGACGGATGTACCTTGGTCTCCACCCTCAAATTTTTTAGAATTCGATTTCTTCCTTTAAAACTCAAATGTTGTTCTATTAATATATACGTGTCTACCTTAAAAATTTATCATTCCCATCTTGAATAAAATCAATTTGTGTACACAAATGGTAAAGTACACAAATGGTCCTTGACAATAGGGTATTACTTTGTTGAGCCCTCAATAATTACAAATTATAAAATAATCCTCTGATTATAGGATATTATTTTGTCGAGTCTCTCGACTATTAAAAGTTACAAAATGATCACTCGACTATTCATATGTTCTAAATTTGTCATTTTTTATTAAAAAAATCATGGTCGTCTAAGTTTGATGTTAAAATATTAACTGAGATATGATAAAATTTGATAAATCATTTTATAATTTTTAATAGTTTTGGGACTCCACAAAGCAATAACTTATAGTCGATACCATTTATGTATTTTACCCTATAATTAATTTGTCTATGTGTCTATATGTTTTTTTATTAATTCGGGGCATTAAAGCAATATCAGTATCTGTTCAAAGATAACTCTTGATCTTTCAATATCTTGACTTAAATGCTCATAATCCTACAATTTATGGTGCTTGAACCCGAATTATCAGGAATAACAATATTTTTACCACAGATCCAATAAAGATTACTTGCTTGTAATTAAACGCTTCACCAGGGGCCAAACCATTTTCCTTTTTTCTTCTTCTTAAACTGATAAAACATATTGTCAGATTCCTACCCAGGGAAAGTAAACGTTGAAGTCAGACCTTTATTTTTGGGTAAACTACAAGTTTAGTATATTATCTATCACTCATATTACATTTTGGTCACCAAACTTTTTTTTGTTTCAAAACTATACCTAATGTTTAGTTGTGGTTTTATTTTGCTCACACACCATTAAAAATTAATGATGCTGTTCACATGTCATCATTGAAAAAAAATTAAAAATATCACGTCAATAGTTCTGTTTTTTTAATGGTGAGTGACCAAAATGAAACATAGTTAAACACTGGGAATGATTTTGAAAAAAAATAAATAGTTGGATGATAAAAATGGAATAAAAATAATAGTTCGTGTGCTAAAGATGAAGTTTACCCTTTTTGCAGCCTACCCAATCGTGGCATTTTCTCGTTCCGTGCGCCCCCTCTGCTACACTTGTGCGGATCTCTTAAATCCGGTCCGTAAGGAAGCACTCAATTGCACCGTCGCCTCACTCCAAATTTGCGTCGTCGTATTTGGTGTTTGAATTAGGGATCCATAATTGTCCCTGAAATTTAATTAAGGTATATATCAGTTTTTGTTTTGAAATTTGGATAACTAGACAGTAAATAAAACAAGACATATCGTGAATTATTTGAGAATTATTTGATTAAAATTGGATAAATATTCGATTTGAGAAGAAAAGTATTTAAGCAACCAAATTACATGTTTAAATACCCTCTAATCTCCGTTTAATGAACCCACTTCAATACGATTGAGAAGCAAGCAAACGAGCCTGCAAGAAAATCTTATGTCAGAAATACAAATAACTACTGCCAGGGAGTTTCCCAATTTGACAATAATTTTATGTCAGAGATACAAATAACGAATGGAAGGGGGTTTGGTCTCCCAATCTGGCATGATTTTATGTGATGAGTGAGATACATGCACATAAATTTTAAGAATTTAATTTAGTTCAACTCGACGCAGTCATCGCTATTCTGGGACAGTGATCTTGCTAACTGCATATTTGTGGAAAGGGAAAACTTAGGAGGGAGGATCATCAACGGTTCATTTCCGCTCAGTTTCTGAAACGCCATCCCCATTGTATATCCCAATGCTCGAGCAACCGGAACGGCAACTGCATTCCCAATTTGACAGTACCTATAAAATTCAGAAACAAAGAGAAATAAAGTTACATTCCCTCAACTTGCTTAATCAAAATGTAGGTAATTTCATTGCTTTTATGTGTGTCATATTCTCACACAACGAGCGACTGCATTTTACAATATGCAGAAAGATATCAAAGCTATGTGATTTGCTGTAAATCTAAAGACAGAGAAAAGAAGCACAAATCCCTGAGAATAGTTGCACTAACATGCAAAATTAGGATGCTAGGTCAAGGAAAATACACTGCACATCTTTTTCTCTGTTTAATAAGGCTTAGGAACATGCAGCTGATATAAAAGCCGTATAATCTTAAAGGGTAAACTATGCATTGTCACTCAGCTATCACTTTAGTTCTGTTTTGATCACCCAACAATTTTTTTTCCAAAACCATCACTAACGTTACGTTTTGATTTCATTTTGGTCACTCACCCTTAAAAATTAACAGTGATGCTCATGTGTCACCATAAGGGAATGCCATATCATCTTTGAAAAAAATATCTTGTTAATTTTATAACGTTGAGTGACCAAAATGAAATCAGAACATAATGTTAGTGATGATTTTGAAAACATAAATAGTTGAGTGACCAAAAAGGAACCAAAGTGATAGTTGTGTGACTAAATACGTAATTTATCCAATCTTAAAAGGAGATCATTACAGCTAATCTATTCAGATTTCAGCACCTACAAATAATATTTAGAAAAAAAAAGTATCATACCTCTCTTTAATTGTCCCGCAGAATTTATAATAATCAGGAAAACCTTGTAATCTTGCATATTCCCGGATTGTGAGAACCCGGTCTTGCTCCGGATGTAATATTGCCTATACAAGTCCAAAAACTCACAAGCAAATCCAAATGGCTAGTAAATGTGTAATTTTACCCAAAAAAAAAAAACAAACTAGTGCAAAATCAAACCTGGCTGTGACAGTGAGGATAAGTTACAAGTGTTGTCACAGTCTCGTCCCACCATAATCTTGCAAATGGTCTGCTCATATATTGATAACATTAGTTCCTTTATTTTTACCTCTTTTTATTATTGAGGATGAGGAGGTGGTTGAAATCAGAAAGGCTGCTGAAAAAAAAATCTAACCTTTTAGATTTTCCTTGCTCATAGGTAAAGGCGTATTCCGGTACCTAAAATTGAAAGAGAACTAACATCAGCAATAAATTTTGCCACCTAGACATTTCAGTGTAGAGAAAATGCATTGTCATTTCATTCCCTTTCTGCACTAGATTCATTTCAGTGCATTCCGATTAAAGAGATATAGCCTAGAAAAAGTAGCTGTTTCAATAAGTATGCAAAGGAAAATGAAAGACGAAAAACAAAAATGTCTCAATGTTGCGATGCAATCAGTATGCAGCAGTTTTCAGCTTCACTCAAGTGTACAGCGATTCAGACACAAACTCAAACAAGCATGCACTGACATAAGAAGAAGATGTAATGTTGCTCTCGTGGGAAATGAAGAAACTCACCAATGGTTTTCCGGATGGTAAAAGCTGCTTTTCCTGTGTTGGATCCCTCTGAACCACATTGTCTGCTCCAACAATTAAACCTGGGAGGTCTCGAAAATTTGCCCCCTACATAAACACTTCTAAATTAGAAAAAATATCAGAAGGGTAAAATGGCGGCAATGTCCATTGGAATTATATAACCTTTCTCTTTGGAATCAGACAAACTCTAGTATAATCATCCTCAAATAACTTAGTAGGCCGATGGTCATACAGACAGTCCTTTATTCTTGTGGCAATATCCAATGCAGAACCAGTCATCGCTGCAAAGGCAGGGAAAAAGGAAAAATGTAAATGGAAGACAAAATTAGAGGGAAAAACAAAGGGCCTCTGCTATGCTCCCTCTCTTCTGTGATCAGTTGTGGATTCATAAATATTTTTGCGGGTGGGCACACATATGTTAACAACATAAATTTTTTGAATGGGGTGGGCAAAAATAAAATTTCGGGGTGGGCACCATCAATAGAATAGGTAACTAACCGAATAAAATTCGGAGAAGCTATGGATCCACCACAAAAAAATTACCATATTTACTTGATCGTATATATCTTTGAAAGTCAGTTTCAGGAGGCTTTTCATATTTCATTTCTTCGCGAGCTTCATCATTTGCAACCTGCAAAGCAGTTAACTAATTAAAAGAAGCAGGGTACGGCTGAATCTCAGAGGAGGACGAATCAGTAAAACAAATATAGATAACTACAGGTGGGAGATCAGAAATAGCATCACGGAGAAGAAGAGCATCTTCTAGTTGACGGGGTTGGCCTTCAGAATAAGCAACTGTATTGCGCTGCACAAGTAAGATAAACAGAATTATCAGGATGGAGCACCACCGGTTAAAGCATTCTAAGGAGAGAAGAGCATTCTAAGGAGAGGAGAAAAAGAAAATACCAACCTCAAACTCAGCAGGAGGCCAATATCTGACAATAACATCATGAGTAGGTAGTGGAAACGGTGGAAGCATCTACAGAAACCAAATTACAACCCCCCACACCCAAAAAAATGGAAAGATTAAACCACGTGCAGTTAGGCTCCCAGCAAGACCAAAATCATTAAATTTACATGGTGATAGCCCTTCACCACAATCAGTGACAGTCGAGGAGTGCTGTATTTCGAGATTTTATGCAAACAAATTAGAAAACTAACCTCACTAGGATGTGCACCCCACAAAAAAGCACGCAACCGAAATTGAGGAAGACCATAACAACCAGCTGCAATTATTCCAAGCCGTGCTTGATATTTCATATGTACCAACCGACTTAAAGCATATCTTCCAAGAGAAGCCTTGTCAAATTTCAGAATATCAACCACGTTTTCCATTAAAACGAACTTAGGTTTTAGGTATTCCACAATGTCCATGAAGACCACTATTTGACGATTTCTTTCATCATCCAGTGGAGAATCAACATTTCTATAGCGATTATAGCCGCTTATCCCTTGGCATGGAGGACCACCACAAATAACATCAACATCCCCCTGATTACATTAACTCGTTAAAGAGGAGCCATTCATAAAACAATCACGAGAAACCTCAGATTAAACATCCTCCATCAGATTTGATTAAAGAAAACTTACACGACGGGGTAAGATTTTGGACCTGGATCCTTTTATCACAAATTCCTGAATACATTCTTGACAATTGCTGAGAGAATTGAATGAGTAAGTAAAATAATAACCTAATTCAATAAAGGAATAATGACGGCAATTATTTTACCTTAAGCCTTCAATTGGTTCCCAGGTATCATCTCTTTCACCATAACCCTTCCAGCGGACCTAACAAAATAGCTATGATCAAAAGCCATCTTCACCAAACTATGACATGGAACAAAAATAAAACACGACTATGAATAACAGTAGAATAGATTGACACACAAAAAATCAATTAGATTACAAACAAAAACTCACTAAAGGCATGAAAGGAACTACCATCACATCGTATAGATGAAATAGACCACCTTAAACTTTAGACCACGTTTGCCTGTGTTGCAGGGATCACCATAACAAATATCAACAAGACCAGAAACTTCGAGTTCATCAGAAGAATCGGCAACTTTTTCAGGTCTGTCATTATCTGCAACTGCTTCAGAGGTTCTGGATCTTGAAGGATATGTTTTTTCTACATTGTGAACTACATATCGTTTGCAAAGCTTTTCCCATTCCTTCAATAGTTGAAGAAAATCATCGGCAGCTTCATTCCTGGCCTATATAAATGAAAAAAAAAATGAAAAAAATAGTATTATCTCTCTCTCAAAAATTTTTGGGGTATGCCAAATGGAAGTTGTAAAATATAGGGTAGCGAAACACACATGTGTCCTTGGATGATTTAATTTCAAGCTTTTGCACGCCGAATTATCACTGTCAATTGACCATTTCTACAATACAGAATGTAAGATACACAATGTGCTAATTTATTGTTGAGTGAATCATGAAATAACAGTTTATCATTGATTGGATGAAAGTACCGTCACTAGATCAACGAAAGATGATTTTGCACCGAGGCATAAACCAGTTGACATTCCACCACAGCCAGAGTAAAGATCTAGTAATGTGAGTTCTGCCTTGTAAGTTCCAAAACTAGGAATATTTGCTGAAAAGGCAGGAGTTGTGGGGAAAACCTCCGTGTCACAGCTTGAGGAACTGAAGCTCTTGAAAGTATTATCTGAGTATATATAAAGGCAGATATATTAGCACTGTGATAATCGTTTATCACCCGTTTCACTTGCCAGGTTATGTTTCCAGGGTCACCATCCCTTGCCTCTCTCAGGGAACAAATATAGAGCTAATACAGCAGTCAAACTCCATTACAAACACAACAAGAAGCTTACCAGTTGGCAAGGTGCGGAATGTTGAATAATCCACACAATATTCCATGTCAAAATAGAAATCAGATTGGGGAAGATAATTAGATTTTAAACCTAACTGCAACAAGTTATAGAAGAACAATAAATAAATACATCCAAAATTCCCAACAACGTAGCTGTGAGAATGATAAAATGAAGTAGAAAATTGTTAAAGAAAATTTCTAAAAGCTATTCATAAACAGTTGTAATAGTAAAAGAGAAAAAGACAAAAGTGACTTAAGAATACAAGAAGCATACCTTAGGTGATATTTGTGTAACACTAACTTTTGAAATAATGCAATCTATGGGATTATCATTCATTACAGTCGAATAAAATAGACGTCTTTCGTCATGAAAAGCAGTCTCTTGTTTCATAACCTTTGCATCAAAAACAAAACAGAAGCATCAAAGGTCAGGATAACAAATAATGCGTAACCTAAAATAAATCTAAATGCCTGTACTTACTGTATCTTCAGCTCTATAAAACCACTGAACTCTAAAATAATTTTCTCCATCTGTTGTTTTAAAAAATTCTAATATCCTGCCAATGTGGTGTTTTGCTTCTTCACCCTGAAAAACTTCCTTATCCCATGAGAATGTGCTTGTTTCAATTGTAGGATTATTGATATTTAGAAGTGCCATAGGCAGACCAGCAAAAAAGATTAGAAGAGAAACAACATAAACTTGATTTGTTTAACATAAAATAGGAGAAGCTAAAGGTATATACACAGATTGTAAAGCACACCATGGGTTCATCGCATTTACCTTAATATAAACACAATCCCCAAGATTTATGGTACATCCATCAATTTCAGCTTGAGTGTAATGGCATTCTACGTTCCAAATTATCCTGTCTTCACCATCCTCATCACTATCGCAATAGGAACAATGATTAGAAACAAGAAAGAACTATGAAAAAGAAAAGGTTAATAGAAAATTTGAGGTCAATCCTAAATCGGGATATCAAAAGCCACCAAAAAGAGGGAGATCATAAAAGACTACTTACCCCAATGAAATGCTTTTGCTATTGGATTTTTTATTCTGCAAATTTCAAGATATTGACAATCAGCATTGGAATAACTAAAATGCAATGTGGTTTCGATTTACTATTATTTCCAGCTCATCCTACAAACCATTCTCTGTAAAACTAACTGCTTATGAAATATGTACAATATAGCATTAAACTACACACAATAATGTCCAGACTCCATATGAGTAAAAGCTAGATGTATAGTTACTTACCATTGTATCAATGTTGAATACTGAAAGATGTTATAAAGCGAGCCAGTAAAAATTCAAGGAAAATAAAGGGATAAGGGGGTGTTGAGCAACATCAGAAGCAAAAGGAAAAAGAATGGACAGAAAAGAACACAGATAGGAAAATAAAGTAAAAACTTATGGTCACTGCTTCAAGCAGCTCAATCAAAGAAATAACAGTTGCCAATTTAGTTCATATCAATCACCTTCATTTCATAACGCCACCGCCACCTTTCTTGAGCTTCATCATCAGGGATTGGATTGCCTATAAATATGGGATCAGGCTTAGGTTTACTCTTCTTCTTTCCTGAAAGAAACAAGACGTTGTTCTCTGATAATTTTTCATCTAAGGTTCCCACGTCTGATTCTGCTGATGAGATCTTAAATTTCTTGGAAGGCTGTTCATCGTATGAATTGGATAATCTATTGGAAGACGAGTTCACTTCAGCACTATCACCTCCAGCCAATAATTTAGAACATGAGGAGGGCGCCTTCATCTGCTTTTCATTAGACATTTCCTTTCTATGTTCTCCAAAAGATACATCATTCCCATCATTTTTTGCAACCCACACGAAACCAAGAGAAACTTCCAAGAGTTTCTCACCAGAAAAGCCCATTTCATCCATATCCAATCTTCTAATAGAGTCATCACGGCAACCATTTTTAGTAGCCTGACTAATTTTCAGAGTTCTTCGTAATTGTGTTTCAATGGGAAGTCTTGGGTTAAGATCTTGAAATTTTCTCAAAGACTTATTATCACCGCGATATTCAGTCTCCGCGATAAATCTAGATGACTTTCTCGTTTGCTTTTTAGCAGAAAAGTTTGAGTCATTTTGCTTTGAAAGAACAGCTCGAGAAGATCTTGCTTCAGAGTAATAACCATTTTCAGAGGATTTAAAGATAGTTTTTGAAGAGTGTCCCTTGGTTTCAGGTGGGGCTGAAGTCAATCTTGGAGATCTTCTCAAACTCATTCCCTTGATTCTTTCAACATTCACAATTTTAGCCTCTTCCTTTCCACTGCCCCAGAAAAAAGAAATAGCATGCAAAATTGTATTAACAATGACGCCAGGAAAAATCAAAATGTTAGGAACACACAAAGTAGAGCAAGATTAACTATGCCGGCAATGTCATGAAAATGCAATAGTGAAAGAAAAAAGCAATTGCTACTCACTTTAACTTGAAGCTTCGACTTTTGGGACTTTGACTCTGCATAGCCCAAGAACACGAATCCACAGAAATGAAACAGATATGTTACATACCACTAAAAAGGCCTTCATCTTTCACTTGTAAAACTTTTAAAAAAAATAGTAGCGGATAATCAAAGCCATCTTAAAAGAACTATGAAGCCATTAAAGCCATATATTTAACAATTCCGGTGACCCAAAAACAACTGCAACCAAAACCTCAGTTACAATTGAAAGTTGAGTCCGTCTTCTCAAAAGAAAAATAGTAGCTTCGGAACTTACCATGCCAAAATGTCTAGCGCCTGTTTACCAAACTCAACCAAGCAAGGCATAATCCCAAAAGACAACACCGCTGACAGACCCCAAGCTTATTGACAGCCAATGTTTTAACAGTTTTTTTGAAAACTCAGTTTTACTCGGGAAGTGGTCAACGGAATTGAGCAAATATTATTTTAGGCTAAACTACTAACAAATTAGGGAATAATTAGTTTTCTCGTTGATTTAATGGTACAAATTTAAGAACTTCAATTTTCTTTTTACAGATCTAAGTGATATTAATTGTACTAAACACTACAGACTTGAGTGAAAAAGAAAAATAATATGCTTTGAAAATATTGTATGATATTATATGTATGAACATTTTCTATAATAATAATAATAATAATAGAATAATAATAATATATAAATATATTTATATTTAAACTTTTTATTTCTCCATAAATTTAGAAAACCTCTTTGAACCAAAAATAGAAAATATCAATCAATTTATAAATAATTTTCTCATTTCAAAAATTCGTAATGAAGAAAAAAAATTAAAGAAATTGTTAACTAAAAAATCTGAATGGAAAATTAGTATTTTTAAATAAAAGTGAAAGAAAAAAAGGGCATTGGTCTACCTTCGCGGGAGAGAGAGCTTTTTCATTTTCAGACGCAGCTGAAATGGGAAGAAATCTGGGTGACCTTCCATTACTCTTAAAATCCACAGTTGTATTTTCCTTAATTTTTGTTTTGTTTCTCACATTGGTCCCCACGTTCGCGGTCTCCCGCACGAACAACGCTGAAATTCGCGGCGACCTTCTATGGAAGCTCTGGAGCGCCATTTCTATCTCGGATTTCCCCGAAAACAAATTCCGACCCGGTGAGAGGTGAAAGAGCCTAGCGGATCTTCTGGGCAGAAGCCTGTTACCGGCTGAGGAAGCGGCGGCAATTCCTTCCGGGAGACAAATATCTAGAGGCGCTGGCTGCTCTACATTATCGTCTCCGCTTGTTGTGACCAAATCAAGAGACCGAGATTTGGGTTCATCCTCGGAATTTCCTGTTGGCTTCTCCATACATGCAGAAACAAAAGCAGAAGCAATTTCGATGATTCCAAAGATAAAAGAAGATTTGAAACCAAACAGAAAATAAAAAATCTCAAATGTGGACGGAGCAGAGGTGGAGCGTCAGTGGAACTGTGGAAGCCCGCTGCATCGGTAAGCACGGAATCTGACTTCACTACCTCACCCTACTCGATCTCCACTAGTTCAAAAAAAAAGGTTCGTTGTATGAGTATTTCTTATTTGTCTTTATTTTATTGACATAAATAAAAAAATAACCACTAACAGAACGATTTGGGTGACGAAAGAATTATTATTTTTTGAGAGCTTAATTTGATCACAATAAATGTCAATTATCAATGGTACGTGAATTTTTAATGTTAAAAAATTAATAATATTTTAAGTTACGCTCATCCATAAATATTATATTTTGTAACATTTTTTATTGTATTCATTTTCTGTTGTTCTTTAGTCTTAAATTAAGTTGTTGTCCTAGATGAGTTAAATTAGACTGTATAGAAAAAAGTAAACTTTTTATTCGATTGGATGTTAAAATTTTTGACTTAACTTGACTCAGTTTATAATTTTATAAATTTTATTCAAAAAAATTTAAATTTGAGTTGAGTTATAAAATAAAATTAGAATAACTCAAATTTTTTTAGCAATTACTCAACTTATTATGATATATGTATATTGCATATAAAAATATGAAAATTTACAGTTTTACACCCTTTTAATCGTTGTATGAGAAAAAATTAAAGGGTAAAATTAATAGTATTAGATGATATTTATGAAAAAAATATCATAAATGATGAGTTGATAATTCTATTGATATTAGATGGCATTTTTTGTATTATGCTAAGGTGATTATAAAATAGTATTTGTTCTAAATACTCTCAACTATTTGACAATGAATGCCCACTCACCCTGCTACAATTATTGGTGCTCGAAGTCGTGACCTATGGGACAACAACGATTCATTCAACCACTGAAGTAAGTTGGTTCATGCGATATTAAATGGTATTGATAACATTATTCAAAATTTTATTTTATTTTTTTCTTCTATTATCAAAAAGATACGTTACAAAATATGAGCCATATAAAATGTTTTAATTTAATCTAATTTAATTCATTTGTTTAATATAATATTTTTAATTAAATTAAATCTTTTGTTTCAGTAATTATTTAATATATTGATGATAAAATAAAAAATATCACAATTAAAATTGAGATTTTATCATGTGTCTTTATAAAAGATTAAGAAAATAAAAAAAATAAACGAGAAAATGCATGACTACTTCTAAGTAGGGGTGTTTATTAATGGATTGGTTAATTTTATATGTTTGATCAGTTAACAATTGATGATTTTTTAAACTTTGGTTATATATTAATTTGATTTGAAACCGATCAGTTAACCAAATTAACTGAATTGATTGAAAATATTAAATATTTAATATATTATTTATATATTAGAGTGTCTAAATTTCATTTTTAACCAAATTAATCAAAAATATTTAATATATAATATATATTATCTAAAATTTTGATTATTTCAGTTAATCGATCGAATTAATCAAAATTTCAACCAAATTTTAGACTGTATAAACTTCGATTTTAACTTTTTTTTGTTGAAAAAATTCAGTTTAGTTAACAATTAAAGGTAAAAAACTTTCGGTTAATAATTTATAGGTAGTTCGGTTTGGTCGGTTAACCGAATTAACTGATTGTACACCCCTACTTCTAAGAGTTGATATTTTTATTTTAATACTAGTACATCAAATAATTATTTCATTTAATATTATAATTATATCAGAAAAAATATTGAATTAAAATTTTAAAATAATACCCTTACAACATTAAAAAGTGTCATATACAAGTTAAGTACATGTTTTTTCTGATAAAAAAAGTATGTGATACTCTAATTAGAATAATTAATAGTGTTAATTAATTTAACTAAATAATTATACTAAAATAAAAATTAAATTTGAATTTAAATATAATAAAGAGATTACAATTAAATATTGAATTTAATAATTTTATAGGAACGTATGAGTACAATACAGAAATCTTGCATGATTTTTTTAGTTTGTACTGACTTCACGAGCGGGAAATTTAATTTCGAAATTTTAACTCAATAATTCCAACTAAAAATATTTTATTACATTTGAAAACAGAAAATCAACCTTTTTGTCCTTTTCCTAAAGCTCGAAATATCAATTCGCCTATGAATTTGGTAATCTTATACCAACATGATTGTTAACTTTTTCTTTTCATTTGGATACATTAATTTATAAATATTTTTCAAATTGAGACATTTTAATATATTATTTTTAATAATTAAAATATCATGTCAAATAATGTATTAATTTAAAAATAATTGTAATTTCACATATCAAAAACGGGAAAAAGTATAGAACGATATGATTTGTTAATTTAAATATTTAATTTTAATATAAAAATTATGAGAAAAATTAAAATAGTTATTTTAGATATATTGATAATAAAAGGCAGTTACTAATTTTTATCATTACATTCTAATTGAAAAAAAATCTAGTTCTTCGTTATTAGAGAGTGCTTTCGCAACCAAATGTGTTTTAGCACCACAGAGGAACAATGACTTTTTTTTAAAGAATGAAAGGTGATTTTTAATTAAAAATATAATATTTTTGAGTTTTAAAATTATTTTTTAAATTAATCTTAATCCTATCTAGAGAAACGGAGAAAATGAACCTTCTTGAGGAAGAAAGAAGAGTTCTCCTAGTGGATCTAAAATTCATGATCTAAAGATACTTGAGTGAACAAAGAAGATAAAATTATATTTTTAAGTACGAAATTATCAAAATATTTTAATTTATTGTTCATATTTTGTGATTAACTATACTTTCAAACATATATTTAAAAACACATTTTTACTCCCACAATTGACAATACTCTTTGAAATTACATGATTGATAACTTTTGTTTTAATTTTGTACATTTTTTCTCACGAAACTCAAAAATATAATATTTGATCAATTTTTGTTTTTATTTAATATAGATATTATTATTTTTATTAATTTTCTACACTAACGATTATTAAAACTTCACTGACTAAACATTTTAAAGTTAATAAGATAAGTAACCACATCTTAATTAAATAAAAACAAATATGACCACATATTAATAAAATAAAAACGAATGTTCTCAAATATTATGTTTTTTGAATTCAGTAAAAAAAAGTGCACAAAACTTAAACATAATACTATAGTTTACCATCAATAAGCAATTTCGGAGTTATAAGCAATGCTCATGGATAAGTTATAGAGAAAACCAAAACCCTCACAATTTCTCAAATAATTAACAGTCATTTGTAGTGCCAAAAGAAATCAACCAAGCATCCAACGCCTTTAATGAAAAGAAATAATAAAAAGGAACCGCATAACCCTTATTAATTGTTTCTCAATCCTCCGGCTACTACATGTTTGTGCCATAAAATTTTAATGTGGCACAAAGGAGAAAGCAGAAGCAGGCACCTTCCTCTTTCATGGCTGTTGACGAAAGATTCTAGAAATTTAAGCACTAAAATTGAGCTTCTTCATCACCTTTGCATATGCGGCAGGTACTAAAGCGGGTTGTCTCAGTCTCCGTATTGATTTTTTCGACTGCATTAAACAACAGACCGTTACTACAATACAAGATGAGTTAGAAGTGTTAAGATCATCCTTATGCTAAGAAAAGAACCAAAGGTAGATAGATGATTGTATTATACTGGTTGAACTTGAATGAGGAAAATTGAGTCGAGATCTCATGATCTCCAATACTTTGCGTATTGGTGACAACCATCTCTAAGGTATCGATTATCCTCTTTTCCCTAGATTTCCCTTGGTTTCAACCATTTCATAAGCTGTGGATTAGATAAAGATTTTAAGGACAGTAATCCTGTATTATTCCAAAGGTCCATATCTAAAATAGATAATTCCAAGAAACTTCTGTCCAATCTTGAAGATTTTACAGAAAACCAACAAGGTCCAGAAAGAGGTAGTCTCATGGAACAACACACATAAAATGAAGCATCTAAAATTGTCCTATTTCTTTATAATACAGTACTTAGCAACTATTCATGGCCAACTTGTTCTTGCTGATTGCTTATCTTACAAATTACAATAATAATTTTGGTAAGCACTAACAGAGCACAGGGAACTATTGACTCATGAAATGAAGCAGTTTTCCAGCTCAAAGAAAAAAATAACATTAAACGGGATGAACTGTAACAATACAAAAATGGCATTACCTTCAAATGCGCATTATGATTTTTGCCTTCCCTCCAGCGACGAATATTGCCATCATTCATTGTCCTAAATCTGGATTTATAGGACCTAATCAAATTCAAAGTAAACCATTAATCAAATAAATCTATAAAAAAGTTTTCACCAAAAAAAGAAAAAGAAAAATAAATTACCGATAAACTTACGAATAAGGTTTCATCTTAATCTTCTTGAGTTTGGAAGTACGTGGAGTCATGGGTTTCCTCCTCTTTGCTCGCTCCCTTGACGAAACATGTCGGACTTGGACCAACTACAGAAAAAAAGAGTCACATAGTTTAGAATCATTCTTTAATCCAAGGATAAAATTTTCACCCCAAATGAAATGCTAATGAATCAAAATCTTACAGAGAGAAGCAATGGGGAACAAGGAAAGGAATTGACTGCGAGAAGAGGTGATGCGACATTGCTATTGAGGAAGGGTTTAACGCTCCATTTGGTTGAACTATAATGGATTGGAGAAGTGGAGTAACGGAGAAGGCGACGAGAAACGGAAAGAGGGGGAAGATTTTGGGTGGATTGGAGAGCCAAACAGCGGAACTTGGTGCACAATCTCTGCATCGTTTAAACTTGACCCCTGCAACGAGAATGCAATTTGGGGGTTTAGGTTGTGATTTAGGGTTTACTGAAGTGTATGTTTGGGTACTTGGATTAGCGTGACCTGGATATTATTAGAGGGCTTTTTACCAAAAGTATTCAGTTTACACCCTTTATTTATTAAAATGTCTGTAAAATAATCTCAAGAAAATTAGTCGGAAATATTAATTTTTTAATACACTAATTTTATAATCTATAATTGTTAAAATATTATTATAAAATTTGTAAATCGAATACTTTGGTTCAAAAGTCACTGTTAGAGTTTGGATGAATACCTATATAAAAATTCAAAACTCAAAAGTGAACATAAAATATTTGGAATGCCCGTGGAAAATATATTTTTTATAAAGAGCATTTTTTATATAAATTGTGTCAAATATGTTTTTTTAATGTAGAAAGAAAATACTTAGATTTATTTATTTATTTTAGATTTTGTATCTTTTAGTATTATTTTTATTTTTAATTGTCTTTATTATATATTTCTAGAGTTAAATTAGACTTAAGGTCTGATTGATATATTATAATTGATTTTCTAAAAAAAATATCTTAAAATAAATTATCTGAATATTATTTTACTTAAAATAAATTACATGAAAATTGCTACAACAGACTATTTTCTGGAAGTTATCGTCGATGGGATGGGCGAAGATCAATGCTGATGGAACTCGCAACCTTTCTATAGGACTGTTGGCTTGTGGTGGTGTCACTCGAAATTCAAATGGCGATTGGATCCTGAGTTTTACAAAGTGGTTGGGTCGTTGGTCGATATTGGACTCTAAGCTATAGGGTATCTACAAAAGTTTGCAGTTGGCCTGGGAGATTGGTTTACGTTGCATCGTGGTCGAAACGGATTGTAAAGAAGCTTTCAATCTCCTTCAACAGGGCGAGGCGATGGAAGGCGTATCTTATATGATTCCTCATTTAGTTGGATTCTTTACTAGAAGATGCTGGTAGATTTGGGAGTCGTATGTGCTCCGTGAAGGAAATAAAGTTGTAGACTCCATGGCAAAGCTCTCCTGGACATATGGGATGAATCGATTTAGTCATCCCCTACTGCAACTGCTCCTCTTTTGCACGAGGATATAACTGCTCTAACGCGATTGGCGGTTTAAAGTTATTCAAGTACTTTTCCCTTTTATTAAAAAAAAAGTGAACACCAAATATTAGGGATGCTCGTGGAAATTATTTTTTGGGTTAAATTACACTGTTATTTGATTTACTTTACTCTTTCTCTTATTTTGTTCACTAAACTTTCAATTTTTCTAATTTGTTCACTGAATTTTACAAATTGAATCATTTTGCTCATTCCTCTGTTTTCTCTCTAATGTGACATTTTTATTAATATTTAATATAAAAAATAAAAAAATAAAATTAAAATAGAAGGTGACCAGATGCCACCGCCGACCACCGTTGACCATCGTAGATGGTGGTAGTTTGGTCCCAAAATGGTATGGGTCACTTCGCCTCGACGTCGAGAGTTCGAATCCAACCTCCATTTTGTCGAAAGTTACTCCGAAGTTCATGAATTTGAGATTGAAAGTGAGGAAACTGAAGCGTTTTAATCCAAATTCACGGTTTTGGGACATTTTCTCGTGAAACAAACACTAGATCTGGACTCAGAGGGTCGAGACGAAGATACCCATCCCATTTTGGAACCGAAAGACCACTATCTACGGTGGTCGGAATGAAAATGACGTGGTGGCCAATGGAGAGAAAATGGAGAAGAGAAGGAAAAAGGGTAAATTACACCATGAGTCATTAAACTTTACTCTGTCTCATATTTCACTCACAAAAACGTCATTTTATAGTATATTTGAGTTTTTCAAAATGGTTTCGTTTTGATTCTTGTACCACAGCATAACACCGCTAAAAATTAACGATAAAGTGAGCAAAATGATTCAATCTGTAAAATTCAACGAGCAAATCAGAAAAAATTGAAAGTTAGATGAGCAAAATGAAAGAGAGAGTAAAGTAGAGTGAGGAACAATGTAATTTACCCTTTTTAATAAAAAAAAGTTTTTTATATAAATTTTGTCAAATATGTTTTTTTGTTTGGTTTTGTTTTTAAATGTAGAGAGTAAATATTTAGAGACATTTTATTGTTTATTTCAGGGATTTATTTTATAGTTTAAATCTTTTAGTATTATTTTTATTTATAATTGTGTTCATTATTTATTTTCTAGAGTTGAATCAGATTTATTTGCAATTCGTTTTTTAATTTATTTATTTAGTATTATAAATTTTCTAATTGTATTATTTTTTTTCAATTCATTTTTCGTTAAACGAAATATTTATTCAGTGATTGTGAACTAGTAATTTGTAAAGGAGCCCTAATATGTTTATTAATCTTTAATTTGGGGACTTAACTTGCCAAATATTATTTCCAAAAAATTACGATACAAGAACAAAATTAACGTAAAATTATAGAAAGACCCGAAGCCCTTTGCTTATTGTTCCTTTTCACCCTCCTATGCAGGTTCCTCGCCCACAGGCAAGGCGGGCTCTTTCTTTGCATTCTCATCATTCTTAATGCTATTTCTACTGTCCAAGCCATTGGACTCGCCTTCTTCACCAATGTTCCCATATACTGATATTTATCTTTGTCACCAGGTAATGCACTTATTTTGCATAAGAAGTGTATATGTTTTGAACTAAAATGATAGAAGTAAATGCATAATGAACATCTAGCATGCCCTTGTCCTTTCCTGGTGGGGCTTTAGAATGGTTTATAATTCCTGCATTGTTTTTATTTTCAGCCAGTCTACGATGCAAAGAAATTCGCTAAACTGATGAGGAAAAGAGATAGGCTCCAACATTGGCTAGACTATAACCAGATGAAGTTGGAAAGGCATCCCGAGAAGAGACCGACTAAAAAGGTAGTATGCGTGTTCGTGTTAGTATCATAAGCTTTATATTGATTCCTTGAATGCTTTTCACTTTCAGACAGGGTTCCTCGGTTTATGGGGTGAAAGAGTTGATTCCATTGATTTCTAAAAACAACAGATAAAAGAATTTGACAAAAAGGTGAGCTGCTGCTGTTTTACTCCAATGCTTCAATAGGTTTACATTGCAAATATTCAGCAAATATTCATCGAATGTTCTGCCTATTGCATTGTCTTCAACTGTCTCAGATGGCAGTCGAGCGCCAGAAAGTTGTTGAGGACACGAAATCCATCCTGCCAGTTGCTTTCGTATCGTTCAAATCGCGTTGGGGGGCTGCTGTTTGTGTGCAGACACAACAAATCAGAAATCCAACCCTGTGGTTAACGAACTGGGCACCGGAACCCGCGATGTTTATTGGCGAAATCTGGCCATACCATTCGTCTCGCTGACCATTCGGAAACTAATAATATCGTTATCGGTATTCGCATTGGTGTTTTTCTACATGATACCAATCGCTTTCGTGCAAGCTTTCGTGCAATCTCTCGCAACTTTAGAGGGTCTCGAAAGAGTTGCTCCTTTCCTTAGGCCTGTTATAGATACTAGGATTGTGAAACCTTTTGTATCGTTTTAGTACCCTAACGTATTGTTACTCAAAAACAATATGCAGGAAATTCATCAAATCTTTCTTGCAAGGTTTCCTTCCTGGTCTGGCTCTTAAAATTTTCTTGTATATATTGCCTACGGTACTGACGATCATGTCAAAGATTGAGGGTCATATAGCTTTATCGACTCTCGAGCGCGAACATCAGCAAAGTACTATTATTGTGTTGGTGAATGTGTTCTTGGGGAGTATAGTTACTGGAACAGCTTTCGAGCAATTGCACTCTTTCCTTCACCAATCGCCGACTCAGTAATACTCTATCGACTAATCCTACTATTTTAAGATGTCATAAAATTTTCTCATCGACGTGTACATACTTAAAATTTCAGACCAGAAATAAATAGATGTATAAGATTGTAAAATATTTATACAAAACTGGAGCAAATAAGGTCTTATGAATGCATACATGGACAGACACAAGATTTTATGTTAGGGGAATTTCTAAAATTTTAACAAGGGACAAACTTATAAAATTTCAAGGACAAAAACATATCATAAATAAAAAATATAAAACAATCTAAATACATGATAATTTTAAATTTTTAGAGGACGCTTGTCCTCAGCCATCCTCCTCGATCCATCCCTAATATATATGTCCACATAAATGAATTGAATATTGTACTCAGAATAGAAGTGTTGGAAATCCCTTTGCGATAATACTCTGACACGAACTGATTTGATCTACTAACTTAGAAACAGATACATCCGAGCGTTGAGCTTTCAAGCTCAATGACACTTTTCTACTCTACTATACTTAATGCGGTTCATAAATATATGCATCTAATGCAAGTATCAACATAAAAGTATTTAATCAAATTTAGGGAATATCATATTTCGAAATACTATCAATATATGGATATCATACTTATCATCATTTATTAGTATAGTTCACATGAGTATTATCAATTACAATTCATAAGATTCTTAAGTAAAGAGTAGTTAAGGCACAATCTTTTTCTTTCATTTAACTTTTTTTTCCTTTTTCATCCATATGTTTAAAGGAACAAGTAACCCTTATTCGGAGAGCAGTCGATTCATTCCTTGAAGGGATTGAGGGGAATGCAAGCTCAAGAGTATATTTCTTGCTTGTTTGGTCCATCCGTCATTTTTTTTTCATTTGGCATTTAGTTTTTTTTTTTACTTTGGCTCCTTTTTCACTTTGTTTATAATACAAGTTTCTTGGAACTTTATTCTCTTATACTTTGTTTGCATTTTCTTGAACACGTTAAAGTACATGGTGTATAAAATAACGGGATTGGTTCAAGTGGTAAATAGTTTGAAATCGCTTAAACAAAGTCTCAGGTTTGAGTCATTGTGTATGCAGAAAATCCTCGTTGGGAGACTCACAAACCAAAATCAGGTGTGCGACCCCAGTCAATTCATATTAACCAGGGCAAAGCCTTGATGAGATGTACACTTGGATGTGATATTTAAAAAGCATTTGAAGATAAAAGAATAAATCAATTTTAGCTTAGATCCTTAAGTATAGAATAGTTGAGGTACAATCCTTTATTTATTTCTAAGTAAAGTACACAAATGGTCCCTTGAGTATTAGGATTTACTTTGTTCGGTTTCTAGAATATTAAAAGTTATAAAATGATCAATCGACTATTCATATGTTCCAAACTCGTTATTTTCTGTTAAAAAATTGCCAACCGTCAGAGCTGCACGTTAACATGTTGGCTGAGATATGATAAACCCTTATGACACTTATTTTTTGTATTTTTTTTAATATTTTAATAACTTTCTATATTTTCTAAATTTTAATAAATTCTTAATTTTGACTAAATATTAAATAAACTTCAAACTTTTTATACAAATCAATTATACCCTCGAACTCGATCAAAAGAATCGACTAAGCTCTCTGATCACATCATCATTCACACAACTATCATGTTAGTACCATGAATTATTACGTTATTGCGTTGAATTGACATGTCAACATCATAACTGTCAATGATGATTTTCATCGATCAAATGATAACATTAATATAATCATCATTTTCAAAAATTAAATTGATATAATTAAAAGGAAGTGATAATATTATTGCTTTGATAGTATTACGAGGATAAGATTAACCTTTAAGACTTATTTGCAGAAGGGATTGAGTGGAAGGTGAGCTCGGGAATATATCTCTTGCTTGTTTGGTCGAACCAGCATTTTGGGGGTTTTCTTTCCCCACTTTGCAATTATTTTTTCGACTTTACCCCCACCCCAACTTTTTTTTTAATTTAGCTTATACATCAAGTCTCTTTGAACTTTATTCTTTTACTTTCTCGGTATTTTGTTTTACACGTTGAAGTACGTGGAGTACATATGCATGCATGCACGTATAATGTAATTTGAATTATACATTAACATGTTTTTGTATTTTTTTCCTAAGTTAATCATATCAAGCATTAGGGCTAAGCAAAAAAAATGATGAAATTAAAAATTTAATCGAAGTGTTTGAATAATGTATAAAATATATGTTGAGGGGTGGAACTAAAAATTTATACAACTGAGTTAATTTTTTTTATTTTTCATAAATACAGTTTTTTTCATTGAGGGTGATAAATTTTCTTTCTTTATTTTTAAAATATATGTATTTTTTAATATTAATTAATACTTAAAAAATAATTGGGTGGGGGCCAAGGCTCATCTCGACCCCATGAAGTTCCGCCTCTTTATATCTTAAAAATCATGATTATCTTATGAAAAATTAATAATTAGATTAAAACAAACGCTTCAAAAATCCATTGAACCTAATGAAATCAAACCCATCTTATCCTTATGAAATGTTAGAAAGATATATAATAATATACATATTCGAAATATTTGCAATCATTTGATAATAAATATTTACATACTCTTACGAATATCGTGTTTGAATTCAGAATCTCTAACTCTGAGAATAACAATGTTATAGGGAAAAGAGTCCCCGAGCCCCACCCCTCTTTAGCTATAAAAAGGGGGGCAAGGGGCGAAAGCAGGTACTAGAGTTCAAATCAGCATTTGAGAGCACTGAAACTATTTTGTGGTTTTCGTTTGTGATTTGACTGCAGCTATGGAACCAGGTTTTTATTTTTGCTTCCTTTTCATTATTGTTCTTGTTGTTATAAAATTTCGAATACTTCAGCTTTGTTCGTTTGGTTAGGTCGATGAAATATTAATTGTGTCTGGTTTTACGTGTGATAGACAAAGTTCAAACGGCGGACCAAAGCTCAGGGGGACTGCCTCCGGCTGGGACTGCGGGGAATGAGGGTGATCAAGGTATTTACGTATATCAAAACTAGTTCGACTCTATGATAATTTTATGGGCAAACTACGTATTTAGTCACCCACCTATTCTCAATGTTTCGTTTTGGTCACCCAACTGTTTTCTTTTTTCAAAATCATACCTAAGGTTGCGTTTTCGTTTCATTTTGGTCACATATGATTATTAACAGTGATGCCGACATGCCACCATAAAGTAATGTCATATCATCATTAGAGAAAAATAAAAATAGTTATCACATCAATAATTTTGTTTATTTTTTAACGTTGGGGTGATCAAAACAGAATCAAAACATAATGTTAAATACGATTTATAAAAAGAGTAAGATGATGAAAACGAAACCGTGAAAATGGATGGACTACTAAATATATAGTTTACCCTAATTTTATCAGGTATCTAGATTTGTCCTTGTGGAATTAAAGACTATACCACTCGGCTCAATTGGTTGAATGAAAAATCGATTAATTAAATTGTTCAATTATTTACGTTAAATAGATAAAATGAGAAAATTTATTATTCATTAATCATTTATTTTGCGTGTGATAGTCAAAGCTAATACGGCGGATCAAAGTTCCGGGGGAATACCATCAACGGAGACAGCAGGAAAAAGAGACCCCACAGGCTAATCAAGGTATTATAATTTTGGGATCATTTATTTAGTTGAACTCGACAATTCAATATGTTCTAAACTCATTTTTCTGTTAAAAATTAACGGTTATCTGAACTGGATGTTAACGTATTAAATGAGATATGATGGTTGTTTGATATTGTGAGATCAAATTTTATCATATCTCAGTCAGCAGGTTAATATACAGCTCATAGTTTCGTTAATTTTTAATGAAAATTGACGAGTTTAAAATATAATTAATAGTCGAGTGATCATTTTATAACTTTTAATATCCAAGGGACTCAACAAAGCATCTCTCTATAGCCCCTATAGTAAGAGGACTATATTATGACTTTTAATAGTCGAATACTTAATAAATCAATATCCAGTCGATGGATCATTTATGTACTTTGCCCTATAAAATAAAACTACAAAATAGTCGAAAAAATTGTTTTTTTTCTTCTATATATTATTTTTGGTTTTACAACAAAATGATATTATGTTTCATTCATTTTCATCACTGGTCTTTTTAAAAAACGATTTTTGCATTTTTAAAATTTTCTTATTTTTATGTATATTTTTAAATTATTAATTAATATTTTTTCTAGATTGATTAACTGTTAAATTATATTATTAAATATAGGTTAATTTTTTTAAATAATGGGTGGAAAAAAAAGAATAGCTTATATGGTGTGTTGAAAAATTATTTTCTCAATCGAATAGAATGATCAGTGCACAAAAAGACGGTCAAATCACCTGACGTATTTGGAAAACATTTGAAAGACACAACATCTTCTTCGGGTTGCATACAGTTTGAAGTCAACCTTAATAAAGTAACAACTCAAAAGATGTCGTGTCTTCCGAGTGTCTTTTCAAAGACGCCAAGTTATTCGATCGTTTTTGTTCCTACACTGTTCATTTCATCCTAAATGAGAAAATAATTTATCTCACTTAATATGAGTCATTCTTTTTTCCCCGAAACCATTATCCCATGAATTTTACAGTTAAATATTTAATTTGATTTTTTAAAGCATAAAACTGAATACAGTTAATTATATCAATTGTTCTTAAATTATGACCAAGGTTTTATATTTGTTCTCAAATTTTAACATATTCTAATTACATCCTCAACCTATTAGTATCTCCCAATTAACTCCTTTTGTTATTAAACCATTCATTTAACTATTAGATATCACATTATATCTTATGTATCATATTATAATCTGACTTGACATGATCGTAGTTGATTTTAATTTAAACTAAATTAAAACAGTAGTTAATTTTAAGTTTAAACTAAAAAAGTGAATCAAATTAAAAAACAATCCAAATGTAGAATAAATATATATTATTTAATATACAAATAAGAAAATATTATTTAATGCTAATCAAATACGTAGTGCAACGAGAAAGAATATTGCTTTAATTTTGATTGATATTAAGTATTTTAACTAATTAAAGATAACATTTTATCATTTTATTAGGAAAAAACATCAATTAATATAATGTGTATAATGTATAGTATATATTTTAAAATCTTTCATTACTTTTTTCGAACAGGAGAAACACCTTTGACTGAGACTGAAGGAAAAGACACGCCACAGGGCAATCAAGGTATTTCCAGACATCTACCATACTATTATTATTTTTAATATATGACAAATTAGAGATTTTACATTATGGAAGGTGAATTTATTTAATTTTAAGAAAGAATACATTTATAAAATTTTAAAGGAATAAAAATAAATTTTCAATAAAAAGTATAAAGAAAATATCTAAGATATATAGAAATTTGAAACTTTTACGGTCGACTATCCTCATCTGTTGCCCCTTCGGTCTATCTCTGTGAAAAATCATATGTTTTATTTGTTCATACATGATTTATATTCAGTTACTACATATATAATTTTTAAATTTTGTACAAACCAATCGACCTTAATAATTTAAGAATTATTGTTATCTCTTAAGGTTTTGGATTTGAGCACCGTATATGTAGGAGTGTATGAGTGTTCATTGCCGAATGAGCGGGAATCTTTGAACATATACTGCATTCACCCCAAATTATTTTTTTTTAATTCTTAAAAAAATAAGAATTAAAATTAAATAATTATAATAAAATATATAAAATATGAGATAGATAACATAAATATAAAGTGTACTAAAATTAATTATAGTAAACTACTATGTAAATAGAATTTTGTAAAAATAGAATTTTATAGGTACGAATAGCAACTTTAATATTTACAAAATTTAAAATAATCAAGAAAGTGCTTAAATAATTTTATATCAAAATAGAATTTTATAGGTACGAATAACAACTTTAATATGATGCATAACGATTACGAGTAGGAGGATTTTGTAAATAAAGAGAAAGAAATAATATTTACAAAATTTAAAATAATCAAGAAAATTATTTTCTTTGTTCTTTTTATTTGATTAAGTTTTTTTTTTCCAAACAAAAGTAACCATAGACTTTAAAACAAAAACAATCACAATTATACCAACTCATATTATAATATGTAAAAGATATAATGTAACATTTAATACTTAAACTAAAAAAATTAATAACAAAATGATCTAATTGATAAACTAATAATTTGAGGATGCAATTAGATATTTTAAAAAATTTAAGAACCAATATAAAATTAGAGATGTCTGATAAAACTAAATTAAATATAACGATAAAAAATGGTGATTAATAGATAACACATATATTATTATATACATAGGGTAAGTGCATCCCATTATTTTGAAAAAAAATATTATTTGAATTTTTATTAACATTAAATATTATTACTTTTTTGGATTAGAAGGGACACCTTTGACTGAGACTGTAGGAAAAGATACGCCACAGGGCAATCAAGGTATTTCCAGACATCTACCATACTACTATTATTTTTAATATATGATAAATTAGAGATTTTACATTATGAAAGGTGAATTTATTTAATTTTAAGAAAGAGTAAATTTATAAAATTTTAAAGGAATAAAAATAAATTTTCAATAAAAAATTATAAAGAAAATATTTAAGATATATAGAAATTTGAAACTTTTAGGGTCGACTATCCTCATCTATTTCCCCTTCGGTCTATCTCTGTGAAAAATCACATGTTTTATTTGTTCATACATGATTTATATTCAATTATTACATATATAATTTATAATTTTGTACAAACCAATCGACCTTAGTAGTTTAAGAATTATTTTTATCTCTTGAGGTTTTGGGTTTAAGCACCACGTATATAGGAGTGTATGAGTGTTCATTACCGAATGAGAGAGAATCTTTGAACATATAATATCTTGCATTCACCACAAATTAATTAATTCTATAAATTCTTAAAAAAATAAGATTTAAAATTAAATAATTATAATAAAATATATAAAATATGAGATAGATAACATAAATATAAAAATAATTACAGTAAACTACTAGTATGTAAAAGGTATTACAAATACTTGAAAAAAAAACAGAAATACATTATGAATATGTTTCTCTGTAATAACCATTATTAAAAAATATAAAAAATTGAAATGAATTGAGACGTGTTTATGCTATTTTTTGTCATGTGTGATTTGTATGTCTCGGTTCATTTTGATTTTTTTTTAATTTATAAAATTATTTAATTTTAGTTTTATATCCATAATTTATTTAAAATTTAGATCATTTTATTATAGATTAATATAAGATAAATGAATGTTTCATTTATTAATAAGATATATTTTATCTGTGCAGAAGTAAATAACATTATTTAAAAACATAACCATAAATTTAAAACATAAATATAATAAAAATATTTTTATATCAAAATAGAATTTTATTGGTACGAATAACAACTTTGTAAATAAAGTTACAAAATATAAAATAATCAAGAAGGTTATTTTCTTTGTTCTTTTTTTTTCTTTTTATTTGATTAAGTTTTTTTTTCAAACCAAAAGTAGCCATAGACTTTAAAACAAAATCAATCACAATTATACCAACTCATATTATAATATGTAAAAGATATAATGTAACATTTAATACTTAAACTAATAAATTTAATAACAAATGATCTAATTGATAAACTAATAATTTGAGGATGCAATTAGATATTTTAAAAAGTTTAAGATCCAATATAAAATTAGAGATGTATGATAAATCTCAATTAAATATAACGATGAAAATTGGTGATTAATGGATAACATATATAGTATTATATACATAGGGTCAGTGCATCCCTTTATTTTGGAAAAAATATAATTTTAGTTTTGATTTTAAGTTTAAACTAAAAAAAGTGAATCAAATTCGAAAACAACAGTTAATTTTAAGTTTAAAATATTTCATTAATTTTTTGGATCAGGAGGAACACCTTTGACTGAGACTACAGGAAAAGATACGCCACAGGGCAATCAAGGTATTTCCAGACATCTATCATACTATTATTATTTTTAATATATGATAAATTAGAGATTTTACATTATGGAAGGTGAATTTATTTAATTTTAAGAAAGAGTAAACTTATAAAATTTTAAAGGAATAAAAATAAATTTTCAATAAAAAATATAAAGAAAATATCTAAGATATATAGAAATTTGAAACTTTTAGGGTCGACTATCCTCATCTGCTGCCCCTTCGGTCTATCTCTGTAAAAAATCATATGTTTTATTTGTTCATACATGATTTATATTCAGTTACTACATATATAATTTTTAAATTTTGTACAAACCAATCGATCGACCTTAATAATGTGTTTCTTTATAATAACAATTATTAAAAAAATATAAAAAATTGAAATGAATTGAGACGTGTTTATGCTATTTTTTGTCATGTGTAATTTGTATGTCTCGGTTCATTTTGATTTTTCTTATAAATTTAAAATAATTTGAGGATGCAATTAGATATTTTAAAAATTTTAAGAACCAATATAAAATTAGAGATTTCTGATAAAACTCAATTAAATATAACAATGAAAATTGGTGATTAATGGATAACATATATAGTATTATATACATAGGGTCAGTGCATCCCATTATTTTGAAAAAAAAATATAATTTTAGTTTTGATTAACATTAAATATTATAATCAATTCAAAACAATTTTGAGTAAAAACACTTGAAAACTAATTAAAACGGATAAAAACCAAAATTCAAGAATGAAACAATTGGTACAATTGTTATTTTTAAATATTATTTTTGATTTTTAATAAAATGATGTTGTGTAGAATAAACATATATTATTTAATAGGAGTACACAAACAAGAATATTTAGTTTAATGTTAATCAAATACGTAATGTAACGAGAAAAATATTATTTTAATTTTGATTGATATTAAAATATTATGATTAGTCTAAGATAATTTTTATCATGTTATTAGAAAAATCATCAATTGATTTAAAATATTTCATTACTTTTTTGGATCAGGAGAAATACCTTCGACTGAGACTGCAGGGAAAGAGACACCACAGGCTAATGCAGGTATTTACATTTACATCCATATAATAACATTAGTTCAAGTGTATGATAATTTATGTTTTAAAAAAATCATATAATGATTTTAGGATCCATTATCTGATAAAATAATTAACGTTATGTTTTTATTCATTTTTCATCATTGGTCTTTCTAAAAATGATTTTCCCTGTTTGTTAAATATTTTATTATTATTAATTTATAATTTTGTGATGTATTCTAGATGGATGAAATATTTAAAATTATATTCAAAATGGAAACTCAACCAGTTAATTTTTTTTATTTTTACATTCACAAAATTAAATAGAGTTAATTGTACTTAAATTATAATTATAATTTTATATTTATCTTTTAATTTGAAATAATATAATTTTATCTCAAACTATCAATCTATGTTAATTGAATCCTCCTATCGTTAAAATCGTTCCTTTAACTAATGATAACAAATTAGATTTATTTTCCTGATGATTTTTCTAAAAGATTTTTTTAATTTTTTAATTAATAATTGCTTGAATGCGGGCAGGGAAGGAAACGATGCTGACAAGTGTAAAAGCCAAGAAGGAAGTAGTAGACGTGATACTGAATCAGCTGCACAGAGACATTGTCCTCACCGGAAGTCCAGGAACAGGGAAAACATGGCTGGCCAAAGAAGTGACTAGACGCGCCGACGACGAAAAATGCCCCTTCCAAATGTCTCTTTGGTTGTCTCTGAGCCTAAGAGATAAGCAAGACGAAGGCATGTCTCTTCTCCAATCCATTGCTCGTCAGTTGTCCGTCCCTAACATCGGTAGCACCTGGGAAGATGCCGACTATAATAACACCGACGAAAAGAAGAAGGAAGAGAAGAAAAAGGAGGAGCTTGTTGACAATTTGAAGAAGCTGATGGGGAAAGTAGCCGAAAAGCTTTGGAAGGACATCTATTTGGGAAGTAAAAGTAAAGATGAGACCAAACACATAAATCTTTTGCTGGTGTTGGATTCTGAAGGAGATGTAAAGATTGATGAGTTACCCCATTTGAAGGATCACATCTTTCACTTGCTTTCTTTGGATTCCGATGAACCGAATATGCAGACTATTGCCAAGGAACTTAAGGTACACGAATCCGAATCCAAGATCAGGTTCTTAATCACATCAACCGGAGGAAAGTTGAATGAGTCTGTCCATGAGATCAAAGTCGAACCCTTTTCCGAAAAAGAAGAGACGGTGACTTTCTTAAAAGAAAGGGTTGGGGACGGCATTCTTGAGCCTTCGAAATCGAAATTCGAAAAATTGTACGAGGAAATTAAAGAACATTTTCCAGATAAAACCAAGGTTTTGCCTGCTCAACTCATCATGTTAGCAGGAGCCTTGAAGCGCATTGCAGTTGCGGAACAAGATCACATACCATCGGCTCCTGCTTTAGATGCAGCACTTCAACTTTTCAAGGCCGCAAAACCCAATGATGAGATACCGGTTCTTCGTTTTGTTTACGAGACGTTGATCGAAAAGAATGATGGTTTGTTTGATTTCTTTTGGCATAGCTGGAACTTGTTGGGGAATCATGGAGGTGTTCAGTACAATGCGCTGATCGCTCACTGGATCCTCGAAGGCCATCTTGATCTTGCCGATGGTGTGAAGAAGGCTTACGAGAAGGGATACGGTATCATGATGGAGCTGGTAGATCTTGGCATACTGAAGATGCAGGAGGACAATCTTATTGTTCTTGAACGAGCAACACGTACTCTCGAGGATCACGAATGTCGAGAACACTTCGAGAAATCGAAGCTGGGTCTGGCCGGCATGCTCAAGGGTCAAGATAGCAAAGTGTTTGAAAGAATGGCACCTACTGAGGGCATGATGAGAACAGTGAGTGTGGATAAGGAAGGGAAATCAATTTCCTCAATGCTGATTGATGGAAGCAGCCTATGCAGGGAAGACAATGATACATACTTCAAAGAAAAGGATCTCAAAGTTTTGGCCCTTTTCAATCCCAGGATGCAATCACTCCCACCCATATGTCAAATAAAGGATTTGCTTCTGCTCGTGCTAAGAGGCTGTTATCTGCTTAATTCGGTCGATCAGATTAAGGATCTTGAGAAATTAGTGGTCCTCGAGGTATCTGGTTCGCCGAATCTGACCGAAATGGAGGAAGGCCTTTTCGATAAAATGACCAAGCTTCAAAGCCTTAATCTATCTGCACTGGGAATCAAGTCATTGCCTCAAGTCTCCAGCTTGAAAGAACTACGAAGGCTCATCCTTAAAGACTGTCATTTCCTGGAGGCTCTGCCAAAGCTAGCAAATCTCAAACATATGGAGGTAATCGACCTTTCTGGATCATGCTCTTTGAATAGGCTCCGAGAAAAAAGCTTCAAGTCATTTAAAGAGCTTCGATTCGCTGATTTTTCCGGAACCAAAATCGAGAAGCTGCCGATTGTTCAGACCCTTCCGAAACTAACCATCCTCTTGGCTAAAGGATGTGATCGTTTGGCTGGTTTGCGCTTCATGAAACGTCTGGAAAAACTCAAGGTACTTGATATTTCAGGTGCTACTAGGATAAAGGAAATCTTCTTCGATTGCTTTGATGGTACTGACAATCTTAGATTCCTTGACCTATCTGAAACCAATATCCGATTTTTGCCCGAAAGCCTCGGCAAACATCTGTGTCGTCTCACACTGAAAAGTTGTTCTAAGCTCGAAAAGCTCCTGAACTCACAGGGGCTCACTGACCTACAGGCTCTTGATCTTTCCAATTCCTCTGGTCTGCAAAAGTTCCCAGATGATTTTTTTGTAAACCTGACCAGTCTTCAGTCCCTTGACCTCTCAAACTCCCAAGTAAAATGTTTTCCTTCTCTTTCCAAGCTTGGCAATCTTCGCAAGCTTTTGCTAAAGGGTTGCTCATTCGAAAGACTTCCCGAGTCGAAAACCTTTGGCTCCTTTGAAGGGCTCACTAACCTTGAGGAACTTGATCTCTCGGATTGTAAGAGCCAGGCTGAGCAATTTCCAAGGTTGGAAGATCTTAATAAGCTTAAGATTATCAAACTTTCAGGTTACAAAGCTCTGTCAGAAATAGATTCCTTGAAGCACACGCCTGAGCTTGAAGACCTTGATCTCTCAGAAACCCAGATTTCAACCCTGCCAAACATATCTTCTAAAAAACTCCGTTCCATTATTCTAAACAAGTGCACCCAACTCAAAGAAGCTCCAGATTTTCAAAGCCTTCCAAACCTTTTCGAGCTTGACCTACGTGGTACAAGCTCTTTAAACTTGGAGCGTATCAATTTCGAAGCTTTGAGTAGGCTGTCTAAGCTTCAGAGACTCAGGTTATCCAAAAAATGCATGTGATCGCATTAAATCTTTGGAAAATCTTTCTGGGGAGGCTGTGGAGTATTTACCAAAGAAACTTGAAGTTCTTGATCTTTCTGGGGAGGCTGTGGAGTCTTTGCCATCATCTCTCGTTAAACTTACTGATTTAAAGCAGCTTTTGCTAAAAGGTTGTTCGAGCTTAAAGGAGCTGCCATCGCTGAACACATTGAGTCAGCTTGAGGTGCTAGATCTGTCAGGGATTCAAGTGGAAAATCTTGGAGACAAAATTTCAGACTTAAGAAATATGAAGAGTCTTCATCTACCGGGGATGGTGGCCGATGAATTTAAAGGTGGGAAGAACGTCGACGCCCTACCGATGGAGCTAAAGCTGGATCACTGTTGTATCTCTGAGTCTTCTGAGATTCCTCAAGGGGATAGCAAGCCAAGAATAGTTGTGCAAGGCACAGAACTCCTCAAAAGTTTAAAGGAAAATTCCGCATTGCTGGAGAGTATCAGGAATTCAATTTCATCGGTCCGAGCAAAAAGCAAAGATGAGGACAATTACTGTGACAGCCGTAAGCATATCTTTGGTGATATCTACACCAAGGTCAGAAAATTTCCTAGTGAAGATGCAGTTCGCGAATCTTTGGAAATCCATGGATTTGATGGTTTTCCCACTGGTATTGAGGTTCTTCTTGAGCATGCCAGGTATGTCGTCTTGCTCGAAAATGGCTTTATGAACAACTTGTCTGATCTAAAGCCTGATAGCTTGAAGAACATCAGTGGTTGTTGGTTAGAGCGTTGCAACAAAATGGTAACCATTTTTGTGGAGGCGGATCAAGGGAAGTGGGGAACCCTTGAGATACTATGGATTTCGAACCTTCCCGAGTTGAAGAGTTTGTACGACGAGAAGGTGCAATCCCTGAGTTTTGGGAGCATAAAGAGTTTGTACATAGACTGCTGCCCGAAGCTTGAAACTCTTTTCCCATCAGAGATCCCTGAAAATCTTGAAACTCTCAAAAATTACATTTTGTGATAGCTTAAAGACTTTTGTCGGAGATAAAGGGCCGGACGACAAGGAAATCCAGACCCCGGATTCCACAAATCAGAAAATGCAAACAATGAATCCAAAAGACAAAGAAGGGCAGAACACGGCGTCTTCAGTAGGCAAGAAAGTGCCAGATATGACAAGTTCAGCCCCAAAACAAATGCAGGTGATGAGTACTGAAGATAAAGTCAAGGAAAGGGAGGCGACGGCTTCACGTCCAGACGATGAAGGCAAAGGACCAGAGGATGCTAGTCCAATAGATAAGGGTAAGAAGGACGAGGAAGTGAAGATGCAAGCTGCAAGTTTAGAAGACAACAGAGATGAAGAACCGGAGGGTGCAACTTCAGTGGACAAGGGAAAGGAGGAGGAGGAAGCAGAGACGCAGGATCCAAGTTCAGTAGACAAGGGAAAGAAGGACGAGGAAGCAGGGACAGATGCTACCGGTTTAGCAAACAAAGAATTGCAGGCCACTCAAAGCACAAGTGGAATCAAACTCAAGCATTTGCATATATCATATTGTCCAATGCTTGAAACTGTTTTCTCATCACAACAGGTGCCTGAAAAGCTGGAAATTCTCCGAATCAAGCATTGTGTTAAAATGAATAGTGTTTTTCCGGAGTCGATGATCGACCGTGAATTACCAAAATTGAAAACATTGCAACTGTCAGACCTGCCCTCTTGGACTCGATCCGAAGCCGGATTTAAAGTGAACAAATCTGTTACAAAGATCATAGAGTCACCCCCACCAAAGGAAGCCACTCCAGCTGCTGAGAATTGAGATTCAATGGAAGACAAAAGAAAAGACCTCACCAAACAGGTTAGCCATGCATGATTTCATATTTGACATACTCATAGCTCCCCCACATCTTTTCACTTCATACAATAATCAACTATCTTGTCTCAGTTAATCTATTTTGTTCCGAGACATGACAGAAATACAAAGTGCCCTAAACAACTAACCCTGTTCCAAACTGCAGGTGTTTCCTTATTTAGCAATGCAATCATAAATAAATGATCCAAACTGCAGGCTGCCCCCTGTTAGTACACAAGACAATAAATGGTTTCCAGGATGAGCTTCGTGTTCAAACATCAGTTGCAATGTCGTGTTTTTATGTAGTTTTATGTATTATAAGAATGCCCTGTGTTTTCAATACTTGTGTGATTTCCTGAATGTTTGAGTGTGCATTAGTGTTATTTGACCATTTCTTATCCCAACATCGTGTCAATAAATTTGTAATATAATAGACTTGGAAACATTCCCCCTTTATGTACATTCATATGGATTTTATAATTTATATTATGAGTTTCCTTGATTTTCAATTTCTCAACCCTTTTTACCTTTTCTTGCTGAGAATCGTACTTCGAGTTCTTCTCAAGTCATCTCCTAATAGGGACGGAGCTATTCCTTGTAATCCCTTCCAAATATTGAATATAAGATTGAAAAGAAAATTAAATTCATGAAATATTTAAATATATAAGATTGAATTTGTTAAATTATTTCGGACTAGAATAAAATTAATATAATACATAAATTTTGGGAACTAAAAATATAATAATATCATATATAAATATTTTTAAAAATTCATTTATTATCTAACTCTTAATTAATAGAGGGCCAGGAAATATGTGCTCCAACTACAAGATCATGTAACCCGGAAAAGCCCATTATCCGCTCAGTTTAACTTGCACAACAAGCCAACCCGAAGTATAATAATCTTTTAGGTCCGGAAAACATTTTCTTTCGTCGATTGAGTTTCTTGTTTTCCGCTTCAGAACTCGTATTGAGACACAGAAAACCAAAGTTGAAATTTCTGAACCCTTGAGGCTTCAGCTTCTCTCTCTGTGTTTCGACTCTGTGGAGTGTTTTTGAGATCCATGGCGGCCTTGCAATACCTAGAGTCCATTCAAAATGAACATCCGGAGCTAGCCTACTGGTTCAGTTCTATTGCAGATCTGTATCTGAAGAAACTCTGGCATCAGCTCACTCTCAAGCTCGACCAGTTCGTTGCACTCTCCGCCTTTCAGGTCTTTCATTCTATTCCATGTTGTTTGGGTTTGGAGTTCGTAGATCTCTTCTGCATTTTGGATTTTTAGAATTGGGGAGTTAGGGGTTTTGAATGTAGTTAATTATCTTTTTCTTTTCTTTTCTTTCCCCATAGGGTTTTATAGTAGAATTGGGATTTCATTTCGGGGGTTAATTAGGTTTTTTTTTTTTCTGTGTGTGTTTTCTTTACTATTTTTAGTTTAAACTTTGGAACGAAACAAATAGGAAATGTTTATTGCCTTGCTGTTTAATAACTCGGAGATTGTTAAAGAAAGTATACTCAGTTGGGTCTTGCCTTTTATTTTTTATTGTAATGTTTTTGGTCATGTAATTGTTGTTAACTTGCAGTAAAAAGGGAAAATAGTGGAAACCTTCGGGCTTGCACGCAGGATTAAGTTTGATGAAGTATATGAAAAATCACAATTAGCATCTAAAGCTTTTTCATGTTTATTAGGGGCAGTTCTTTTATGACTATTGTTTTTGTTTTCTACATCTGGAAAATTCAATTGCGATTTCTACTGCTTTCTTTTGTCAGTGTATAATGGATGGATAACTAATCTGAAGCGAGGCTTACTTGATGATTTTTTATTTTGAAAGTTTGGCTTTCTATTTGTTTTAGTGGTTCATGCGTACATATTTAGAAAATGAACTAATTGTACCCCATTTGGTAGATGTTGGCTAGGTCATCTAACTTCCTATAGCACTTGTTTCTCGTAAATTTCAGGCTGGAGATGCACTGATAAAGTTGTATCACAACTTTATCACCGACTTCGAGATCAAAATTAATCCCCTCAAGCTTTCACATTTTGCTGTTATAGTTTCTCAGCAGTACTCAGAGAAAGAGACCGCTATCAGTTTTCTTGAAGGCGTGATTGAAAAGCTTCAGGCTACTAAAGAGCAGCGCATAGAAGAGCCAATTCTTTATATTAAGATGCAAATTTCCAAATTCAAGCTTGAGCAAGGAGATCAAAAAGAATGCAGGAAACTTCTTGATGATGGAAAGAGTACCCTTGACAGTATGACTGACATAGATCCATCTGTATATGCTACCTACTATTGGGTTTCATCTCAATACCATAAATTTCGTCAAGAATTTGCGGAGTTCTACAAATGTGCTCTCCTTTATCTTGCTTACACATCAGTGGAGTCTCTCACAGAATCTTTTAAGCTGGTATGCTTTTATTGGTTAATATGCTTTCTGCTAGTCCAATTTTACTACCTTATGATATTCTTGGAGCTCGTTAATCTTACTTTTAAAAAAATGTTATTTACATTTGAGACTGCATATAGTTGAATCTAGTTATTTGAAGTCTAGCATTTTACTAACAATCCCCACCGTTGTTGGCCATTATTTTTTCTTATTTATGAAGCGTATGGTACACTTTCTATTGGTCAGGCTTCAGAGTCCCTCTGGGGTTATTATTTTAACTATTTGATAATCGTTTTATCACCCAATTCATGTAATAGTAGTGTATTTGAACTCTAAAGTCATGTCTTACTAGTTTTTTGAACCCTTTATTTCATGCTAAAACTTCTTCTCTTATCTCCAATGTCTAATTTTATAATATCATGGCGAATCAAGTAGCCATGTATACATTTGACGGAAAAAAAAAGCTCAAAAGTGGCATAACACAATTTGAAAGATAATGTTAATTGCAAAATGGTTCTTAAGTATTTTGTTTTCCTGTTCCTTCCAGCCCAGTCATAAAATTGATAGAAATACATAAGCTAAGTAGCATTTGCACCTTTTTATTTGGCTGCTGAATAAATTTATCCATTGGCTTTATTTCATTCCATTTTACTTTAATTTTTTTGTTATAGAATTTGGCATTTGATCTGTCCCTTTCTGCTCTTTTGGGCGATAACATCTACAACTTTGGAGAACTCCTTGCTCATCCAATTGTGAGTACATCTTTTATCAAGTTTCTTAATTTCACCATATGTTGCATCTGATGGTTTTAATGGCAAAATAGTTTCATGTCGCCACATCAATATGTGCCATTATTTAGTTCAAATGATATTCCTGACTGTTTGTTATTTTTTAGTGAGTTTTTTATGTAAATGTTAACTTTTAATTGATGATAGTCTGACCTGCTTTTTATTTACTCTTTTATTAATATGTGAAGCATGTATAAGTTAACTTTTAAGGCAGGATACTGCTATTTGCCTGATAAATACCAGCAACGGTTAATCGAGGGATGTTTCTGTGTCTGTGTTGTCTAAAATCTGATATAGTTCCAAAGTAAGTTGGGGGTTAATCAAGCTTTCTAGTTTGGGCTGTTAATCAAGCTTTGGTTAGATGAAAATTTTGAAGCACTTTTGTCTGTAGAGAGCTCCTCAAAAATGTTATGGAGATGATCGATGTAGTGCTTGATTAAGAAAATTGCTTCTAATTGCACAAAGATAAGGTTCATAGGTATTGTTTATGACGCTCAAGTTAAATATATGTGGAGGTTCAAGGGAACTTAGTAGTGGCCGAAAGGTGCCAGCTGATAAGAGCTTCTTTTTGTTTTGTATTTCTATTATGCTATTGCAATTACATGCATACATACTTATTTTTCATTGTGTCGGGCTGATTTAAAAGGCTGCTCGTGTTGTAGGTTCTTTTCCTTCTGAATTTCTTTGCTTTAATATTTTTAATCTGTTATGTTTGAGATGATGACATTTGGCATCTTTTACAGATAAAGAGTCTTCTGGGGACCAAGGTGGAGTGGCTTTATTATATCCTCCAAGCTTTCAACACAGGGAATTTGGTTCGCTATGAAGAATTGTGTCGGGTGCACAATGCTGCATTGAGTGCTCAACCAGCCCTGGTTGAGAATGAGAAGAAGCTGTTGGAAAAAATTAATATTCTATGCTTGATGGAGATTATCTTCAGGTGTGTATGGCTGTAGTGTTCCCTAAGGGATGTGGCCAAAGTTGCTGATAATTGAAAGCATGGTTAAAATCTAAACTACAATATGTTTCAATGTAGCCGGCCATCCGATGATCGAACTATTCCGTTAAAAGTTATTTCTGAGAGAACAAAACTGTCAATTGAGGATGTTGAGTTTCTTCTCATGAAGAGCCTGTCTGTAAGTTAAAAACATTCACAATTTTTTCAATCTTTGTTTTTTCAGTTTTCCTTTTCCTTTTCCTTTATCTCAATATTTTTGATGACGCCTTAATAGGGAATACAAATTATTAAAGGGGAACAAATAACATTGGACAAAAACTAAGGAAAAAACAAATTATCAAGTATAGTGAACATTGGTAGAAGTCGAAGTCTGTATTTCTGTTGGGGATGCTTCATTGTATTTACATTGTTCTGGTCTCTTAGATGATTCAAAATTCTAAAGATAACTTGTATAACCTTTTTGCAAATAACGACTGCAGGTTCATCTGATTGAGGGCATAATTGATCAAGTTGAGGGAGCAGTTCATGTCTCTTGGGTGCAGCCAAGAGTTTTGGGGATTCCACAGATCAAGTCCTTGCGTGAGCGGTTGGATAGTTGGATGGAAAAAGTGCGTACTGCTTCATTATCAATTGAAGCTGAAACGCCTGACCTTGTTGCATCATGATTTTCCTGTCCGGTTCCTTCTGCCCATTGTAACAATTTCGTTATTCGAAAAGAAAGAAAAGGAGAGAGAGCGATGAGAGGTAAGTGTTAGTGATGTGCGCAGGTAGAGCCATCTTTGTATGATTCCTTTGAAGGGATCTTTAAATCATTGTTCTTAAAGGAGGGGCTTATGTTCTAGACTTTTCACGTTTTGGCATTCGTTGGATCTACAATGGCAGTTGCATGCCTGAGGGAGGATACAGTTAAAAACTGAAAAACATCATACTTCTCTTTCTTCAACTTTGTATTGGGATTTTTCATCAGATACAATCAAATCCACCTTTTTTGTGGATGAAAGTACATTTTCATTTCCCTTTCTGCATAATTTATGTTGTTTGGTTGCTATGTTTAGTCGTACTTCTGGGTTTGTAACTACTAAGATGTTTAATTAAGTTGCCACTTAAAGTATACAAGGCGGCAACAATGCTCCTACATGTTCCTTTCTACATCAAGAGTACCACAATGCTCCAACTTTCTTTATACAAGCAAATTCCGAATCCTTTTTTGACGCACAAACATTTAGGAACCAACGTCTGCGCTGTCAAGCGAGTCCTCTCCTCCATAGTTTTGGTCCCTCCTCTTCCCATTTAAGAACCTCTTTTATGTATTTAAATGCTTCATCAATGGATACCCAGTCGTCCCTTGCCCTAGCTTGCGACACAAACAGCTTCTGTCCGCTAAGGGAAGCATAAAGATCGTTGAACTTCATCGCAGCTTAAAAGTAAGCCTTTTGAGCCCAGAGACTGGTGACTGTGTACCTGTCTCACATTCACCATTTGTAGAGAGAATGGTGAGCATTGCAGAATATGAGAGAAATGTGGGCCCAAGTGTCTTCTTTTCTGTTGATATTTTGTTTCAGTTAGCAGCAGCTTGTAGGATTTTTGTGTAGTTTCCTTCTGAATGTTTGTTTTTGTGGTGTGGACTCTCCTGATGTTCACGATCGGATTGTTTGGCGCGTGGACTGGAAATGATGTAGTACGCATCAATTTATCTTAAGTGTTAAAAGAATCGTTATTGTTTCTAAAAATTATGAGTTTGAATACCAGCAATTATATTAAAGTGATTTAGAATACATTGTCAAATAGTAAAAATTAATTAAAAAAGTTATTACTTTATAATCATCTCAACATAATAATAAAAGAGATATTTATGTTACACAAACTAAATAATTTTAATAATTAACGAGAGAATTATTATTTTCAGCTATAATATATGCTCCAACTACAAGATCATGTAACCCGGAAAAGCCCATTATCCTTTTCTTGGGCTATAATATATGCAACTAAATAACTTGCACAGCAAGCCGACCCGAAGTATAATTATCCTTTTCTTAAGTCCGCTTTTTTTCTTTCGTCGATTGATATTCTTGTTTTCCGCTTCAGAACTCCTATTGAGACACAGAAAACCAAAGTTGAAATTTCTAAATCAAGGCTTCAGCTTCTCTCTCTGTGCTTCGACTCTGTGGGGTGTGTTTGAGAGCCATGGCGGCCTTACAATACCTAGATTCCATTCAAAATGAACATCCGGAGCTAGCCGACTGGTACAATTCTCTCTTGCAGATCTGTATCAGAAGAAACTCTGGCATCAGCTCACTCTCAAGCTCGATCAATTCGTTACACTCTCCGCCTTTCAGGTCTTTCATTCTATTCCATGTTTGGGTTTGGAGTTCGTATATCTCTTCTGTATTTTGGATTTTAGAATTGGGGAGTTAGGGTTCTTGAATGGAGCCAATTATATTTTCCTTTTCTTTTTTCCCTAGGGTTTTATAGTAGAATTGGGATTTCATTTCGGGGGTTAATTAGGGTTTTATATATTTTTTACTATTTTAGTTTTAACTTTGGAACGAAATTAATAAGAAATGTTTATTGCTTTGTTGTTCAATAACTCGTAGATTGTTAAAAAAAACTATACTCAGTTGGGTCTTTCCTTATATTTTTTATTGTAATGCTTTTGGTCATGTAATTGCTGTTAAGTTGCAGTAAAAGGGAAAATAGTGGAAACCTTCGGGATTGCACGCAGGATTAAGCTTGATGAAGTATATGGAAAATGACAATGAGCATCTAAAGCTTTTTCATGTATATTTCAGGACAAAAATCTTCTCTGAATTGTAGAATTGAAAGCATTAGATGCGATTCTTACGACTCTTGGTTTTATATTCTACATCTGGAAAATTCAATCGCGGTTTCCTACTGCTCTCTTGTGTCAGTGTATAATGCATAGATAACTAATCTGAAGCGTTGTTTACTTGGTGATTTTTCATTTTGAAAGTTGGCTTTCTATTTGTTGTAGTGGTTCATTCGTACATATTAGAAAATGAACTAATTGAACCCCATTTGGTAGATGTTGCCTAGGTCATCTAACTTTCTATAGCACTTGTTTCTCATAAATTTCAGGCTGGAGATGCACTGATAAAGTTGTATCACAACTTTATCACCGACTTCGAGACCAAGATTAATCCCCTCAAGCTTGCACATTTTGCTGTTATAGTTTCTCAGCAGTACTCAGAGAAAGAGGCCGCTATCAGTTTTCTTGAAGGCGTGATTGAAAAGGTTCAGGCTACTAAAGAGCAGCGCATAGAAGAGCCAATTCTTTATATTAAGATGCAAATTTCCAAATTCAAGCTTGAGCAAGGAGATCAAAAAGAATGCAGGAAACTTCTTGATGATGGAAAGAGTATCCTTGACAGTATGACTGACATAGATCCATCTGTATATGCTACCTACTATTGGGTTTCATCTCAATACCATAAATTTCTTCAAGATTTTGCGGAGTTCTACAAATGTGCTCTCCTTTATCTTGCTTACACATCAGTGGAGTCTCTCTCAGAATCTTTTAAGCTGGTATGTTTTTATTGGTTAATGTTTTTTCTGCCAGTCCAAATTTACTACCTTATGATATTCTTGGAGCGTGTTAATCTTACTTCTAAAAAAGTTGTTATTGACATTTGAGACTGCATATATTTGAATCAGGTTATTTGAAGTCCAGCTCTATACTAACGAGCCCCATGTTTGTTTGCCATTAATTTTCCTTATCTATGAAGCTTGTGTTACACTTCCTATTGGTCAGACTTAAGATTCCTTCTTAGGTTATTATTATTATTATTATTATCATTTAATAATCGATTTATCAACCAATTTAGGTAACAGCAGTGCCTCTGAAGTCTAAAGCCATGTCTTACTAGTTTTTTAACCCTTTCTTTCTTGCTAAAACTTCTTCTCTTATCTCCAATCTCTAATTTTATAATGTCGTGGTGAATCAAGTAGCCATGTATACATTTAACGACAAAAAATGCTCAAAAGTGGCATACCACAGTTTGAAAGATAACGTTGATTGTGAGGTGGTGCTTAAATATTTTGTTTTCCTGACCCTTCCAGTCCAGTCATAAAATTGATGGAAATAAATATGCTAAAGAGCATTTAGACCTTTTTATTTGGCTGCTGAATATATTTATCCATTGGCTTTATTTCATTTTATTTTATTTTAAATTCTTTGGTATAGGATTTGGCATTTGATCTGTCCCTTTCTGCTCTCTTGGGCGATAACATCTACAACTTTGGAGAACTCCTTGCTCATCCAATTGTGAGTACATCTTTTATCAAGTTTCTTAATTTCACTATAGTTTCATGTCGTGGCAGCAATATGTGCCATTATTTAGTTCAAACAATATTCCTGACTTTTTGTTCTTTCTTAACTAGTTATGTATGAAAAAGTTAACTTTTAATTGATGTTACCCTGACCTGCTTGTTATTTTCTCTTTTATTTATAAGTGAAGCGTGTATAAGTTAATTTTTAGTGCAGTATACTTCTATTTGCACGATAAATACCAGCGATGGTTCGTTGAGTCATATTTCTGTGCCTCTTTTTATCTAAAGTCTGATATAATTCCAGTGTAGATGGGGGATTTAGTTCAGTTCTAGTTTGGGCTGTTAATTCAAGCTTTGATTTGATGAAAAATTTAAAGCACTTTTTGCATGTAGAGAGCTCCTTAAAAATGTTATGGAATGCTTAATTGCTTTGAATTGCACAAAGATAAGGTTCACAAGTATAGTTTATGATGCTCAGGTTAAATATACGTGGAAGTCCAAGGGAGCTAAGTAGTGGCTGAAAGGTGCCGGCTGATAAGAGCTTCATTTTGTTTTGTATTTTCTTTTATGCTATTGCAATTACATGCATACATGCTTATTTTTCATCATGTGGGGCTGATTTAAAAGGCTGCTATTGTTGTAGGTTTTTTTTTCCTTCTGAATTTCTTTGCTTTAATGTTTCTATTTTGTTATGTTTGAGATGATGATATTTGGCATCTTTTACAGATAAAGAGTCTTTTGGGGACCAAGGTGGAGTGGCTTTATTATATCCTCCAAGCTTTCAACACAGGGAATTTGGTTCGCTATGAACAATTGTGTCGGGTGCACAATGCTGCATTGAGTGCTCAACCAGCCCTGGTTGAGAATGAGAAGAAGCTGTTGGAAAAAATTAATATTCTATGTTTGATGGAGATTATCTTCAGGTGTGTATGGCTGTAGTGTTCCCTAAGGGATGTGGCCAAAGTTGCTGATAATTGAAAGCATGGTTAAAATCTAAACTACAATATGTTTCAATGCAGCCGGCCATCCGATGATCGAACTATTCCGTTAAAAGTTATTTCTGAGAGAACAAAACTGTCAATTGAGGATGTTGAGCATCTTCTCATGAAGAGCCTGTCTGTAAGTTAAAAACATTCACAATTTTTTCAATCTTTGTTTTTTCAGTTTTCCTTTTCCTTTATCTCAATATTTTTGATGACGCCTTAATAGGGAATACAAATTATTAAAGGGGAACAAATAACATTGGACAAAAACTAAGGAAAAAACAAATTATCAAGTATAGTGAACATTGGTAGAAGTCAAAGTCTGTATTTCTGTTGGGGATGCTTCATTGTATTTACATTGTTCTGGTCTCTTAGATGATTCAAAATTCTAAAGATAACTTGTATAACCTTTTTGCAAATAACGACTGCAGGTTCATCTGATTGAGGGCATAATTGATCAAGTTGAGGGAGCAGTTCATGTCTCTTGGGTGCAGCCAAGAGTTTTGGGGATTCCACAGATCAAGCCCTTGCGTGAGCGGTTGGATAGTTGGATGGAAAAAGTGCGTACTACGTCATTATCGATTGAAGCTGAAACGCCTGACCTTGTTGCATCATGATTTTCCTGTACGATTCCTTCTGCCCATTGTAACAATTTTGAAAAGAAAGAAAAGGAGAGAGAGCGATGAGAGGTAAGTGTTAGTGATGTGCGCAGGTAGAGCCATCTTTGTATGA